GTTCAATCACGGTTATTGTTCGATAAGCTAGTTACATGGGTAACAATTATTGCTCTGAGCATATCCTTGAACTACATAGGGAGTGATAAGAAATTCTTTGGCAGCTCGAAAAACATTCGAGCCAATCCAAAAGGTCAAATATTACGCACAATTCGTTGTTTTTTGTGCGTCATCTGGCGAAAACTTAAGGTGTTTGTGTTGCTGTTGTTGCTGTTGTTGTTTTCATTGTTGCTTTTCGGTCAGTTCATAAATATTTTATCACATGACTTAAATAGATTGGAATGCCGCATGTCGCTGGGCACTTTACGCCGATACTAAAGCAATACATATCAATGGGCTATTGCCCATTGCATGACAGTATCGTTCAATGTGCCCAGAATTGGTAATAATAGTCAACTTGGACACTTAATTGTACATAAGTATATATATATATATATATGTATATACAATATATAGATAGCAGCTAATTGAATGCCTAATCATGTTGCCAAATGGCAATTCTTATCGCTTTATTTATTTTTTATTTTGCTGCTCTAAATCCTGGCTTGGCCATAAGCGTGCCAGCTGCCCGAATATGCGCTATCCATTCATAAGCCACCCAAATGACGTATCAATTGTTTTGCTCATGGAGACGATACGCTGCGGACATGCGGACATGTTGTCATCGACAACATCACGTTAGACGATTCATGTACTTGAAACTGAATTCAAGTTCAAGCGCTACGCACACTCGAGCAGACTCAATCTAATTGTACTCATGACATTTGCTCATCAAATTTTATACTAAATAATCCGATTTTTTTTAGAAATGTTTATTGAAAATATGATGTTTTATTAATTCACTATTTTATATTAACAATTATTTTAATTAATTTAAATAATCAATGAATTTTATTAGCTTAAAATATATTTTACAAATTTATTAATATAAATATCAATAAGTTTAATTATATTTAAATCAATTAATTATTCCTCAATATATACTAATTTATTATGTAATAAAATAATTTATTTTCTTTACAAATATATTAAAATAATAGAAGGTTATTTCTTAATCGAACATTTCAAGGCGAAACATTTATCTATTAGCAATCAAAGTCAAATAGTACAAATTTCGAAAGTTTATTTTATTAGTCATTTCTTGCGAAAATTCCAATTTCTGTTTAGTTTAGATAAGATTAAACTTTTACGTATCAGATTCATTTCCGCTCTTTAACTTAAATGCATTATACATTGTAGTCCTCCCATCCTAGCTGACCAGCATACAAAGGCTTTATTTGTGCTGTGCCCACTCTCCTCCACTCTCTTTCTAATGGGCCAACAAAATAATGTTGTTTATTTTATTTTTACTGTAGCTGTAGCCGTATGTGTTGTGGTCAGTCTCCGGTTTCTTTGATTCTTTTGTTTGCTTAAGTTTGCCCGAAAGCGATTTTCATAATGTGGCATTACTCAGACAGAAATCGGTCATAAAACTTAAGTTTAATGTCATGCAAATGGCGACACTGGGAATTAGCAGTGTCGACGTCTGATGGCTTTATTTCCATCTCTCTCGGCTTGATGTGCTCTGCAGCGGTTATGGTGGATGTGAGGCTCTATAGATAACTTTGTGAGCCGGGACCGACTCTTTGGTTCCATCTCTTTCATTTTTTTCAGCTTCGGCTTGCAACTTGTTTTTAATTAGGCTGCCTAATGTGTCAGCTTATGATTATTATGCCGTTTCTTCGGCGATTTTGTTTATTATCATCTGCTCTGCGCCACATAGGCGTCAAAGTAATGCCCATTCTATTTTAACGTTGTTTACGATATACATACATACATATGTATATGTGTACATAAATCTGGACCAGTTAATTTGCAATTCCTCTTAACGAATGTGGAAAGAGATCAAATGCGAAGTAAGTCTTTAGGAATCCCATCGAAAAATTCCAGATCTCTAAATAGATTTTGCAGCGGCTGTGAAAATATTATAAAAAATAATTAAAATGCAAATTCTTGCATGGAATTTATGGGAAAAACAGAAGAGCCCAAACGAAGCCAAGCGAATTGGCAGACCCAGATAGTATCACATCCACATATCATATCGAATCGTCCCAGTTTGACGCACAAATTGCGCGTGTGTGTTTCTATTTTCTAAGTGCACATAGAGTCATCAAAAATTTCGCAATGTTTTGGCAAACAATTAGAAAGAACTCATTCAGCTCTGCATATATACATACATACATACATATGTATGTGAATATGTATGTCTATCTCTTTTTGCACAATTTATCTATTGTATTTTGATTTGTTTGTGTAGCCTTGAACTTAAATTGGGTGCAATTAAGTACGTTTGTAAGTTTGTCTGTTTGTGTGTGTATCAATTTCGTTTGATAATAAACACAAACAAGCAAAGAAGCAACCAAGCAAACAAACAAACAATCGAAAATATCTCAACTACGTACGTAAATTAACTGCGCACAAGAAAGCTCACGCCTTTGCCCCGGCCAAAGGTCTTGGCAAACAATTTAAGGAATTTTAGCTAAATTCCATTTCCATGTATTACATATCGCAGGTTTGGATCTGGCGGCCAATACGTGTTACTAATGGTAAATACACAAATGCAAACACACACCCACACACACCTAGAAAGTGTCGTTTTTTTTTTTTTTTTGCATCTTCTCTGATATTGCCATATAAAGAGATTATTATTGTGCACCGGGAAGAGTTTACAGAACAGTCAGTGTTAACAGTGGTAAACGGAACGAGCGCTCGCTATCTCTCCTTCCTGGCGTGGGGTTAAATAGAGCAACAGCAGAGCATTGGCAGAGCTCTGGTCGCAAATTCTGCTTCTGTTAACCTAACAGTGCCCGCGCTCTCTTTCTTTCTCGTAGGCGCTCTCTCGTGTTTAAGCAACCGCCTACACTTGTCAGCAAACAGTGCAAGAGTTTAACAGAAACGTAACAGCAGCCATAACAACAACAGCAGCTGCAAAAGCAGCGTCGGCTTTGGTTTGAAGGTGTCCAATAACTTTTATTGAATTCAGTCGTTGGTTGACCGCGATCGCCTGAGGAACGTGCTTAAGTTTGAAATTGTCCGAAACCGATTGAAATTTATTTCGGCAAAAGAACTTATTGGCCAAAGTGCAACATTTGAAAAAAAAAAAAAACATTTGTAAATTGTGCAAGTTACAAAAAAAGTTAGTATTTTGTCTAATTAAAAGTGAATAAACTATAAAACAGATATGGAAAATTAGAGTAGAATTTGTTTTGGAAAAGAACAAATTTTTGCAATAAACCAAATTATTAATATACCATTAAAAATGAATGAAAATTGTGATAGTAAATTTGAATATTTTTGCAGTGAAATTAATTTGATTACTATTTGTATGCAAATCTTGTTTAATTTAAGTTAGTTATGTTATATTAATTCTTGGCATTTGTTCTTTGAAACAATTTATGTTATCTGAGAAAATAACAAACAAAAGAAAGCGTGGCCAATTAGGCGCCTGACTAAAATTTGTTTGGTTTATATCAATTAACACATTCCAGAATTTCATCTAATTGAAATTTGCTAATTAATTAGTGAATAAATAAAAAATAAATTTGCACATAATTATAAACGGGTTTGCATCTGAAAAAGAATTTAAAAAGAATTGGAATTGTTTGAACACACTGTACGATTCGAATATTATTTATAAATAATATATTCCATAATTGTGAATACACTTTGTGGCACTCAATAAAATTGACAAGAGGGAGAACGAAAAAAAAAAAAGAATCAATTTTAATTTAATCACAGCGAAAAAAACTGACGAAACTGGAAAAATCTATTTGCAATTTGCATTTAAATAAATAATAAACCTTTTTTATTATTACCGTTTTTTTGCTTTTGATTTGTTAATCGCTTGTTCTGAAACAAGTTTAATGCTCTGTCATAACTCTCCGGGTCCCGTGTCCGGAACCCAGCAGAAAAAGGGGCGCTTTGTGCCTTCTTTTATTTATTATTTTTTTTTTATAACTATTTCTATTTTTTGCTGTCTTTGCGTAAATTTGGATTCGCTGTTGAGCCAAAGAAAAGGAGAAAAAAAAATAATAATAATAAAATAATAAAAAAGAAACTTTCGGGTTTAAAATGAGTTTTTAGAGCTGACGTCATCAGAATTTGTTCAAAAAGTTTACTGTTATGTGATTGCTGGCGTTTCGGACTGTGTTTATGTTGCCAATTGTGGCTAGCCACAGGCTTATGGCCCATTGGGTATATCAGCTCGTTTCGTTTGTTTGCAAACACTCGAGATATAATTGTTCAATTTGAAAAGTCCGATAATTTAAGATCAGATTTATATATCAACAATTTAATCAGGCCTTAATTAGACTCGTTGATTATCTAGATATTTAGCAATTCAAATTGAGTTTTAATACTGCCGTCTAACTAGTTACAGGGTATTTTGCAATCACATATGTAGCTCTGGAGCATTCCAAATGTGATTTGACAATGCATGAAGTGAATTTTTGATGAGCGTGAAATTTCAAAGGGCTGTGAATGCGTGCGCTTCTTAATTTCATTTTTACAAGCCGAAAAATTTGTGATAAACTAATTGATTTCGGTTAATGGCTTTAACCGAAACTAGCTGAAAGCTCCAGATTTCAATATATATATATATATATTTTTTTTGGCTATGCAAATGTTGAAAATTAGGAAGCTATTGGGGAAACCAGTTTTGGGGCTAGCTACTTAGCTGCTTGGGCTGTATTTAGGCATGCATAATTGGCATGCGGCGCGACTTAATTAGACTTTGATGTTCATATTTATCGCTGCATGGGGCGTATGCGTAATACGCAAATTTCAGAAGCTTTCTAAAACCAAAACAAAAAACTGATAAGCTCTCGGACTGCTGCTAATTTGTTGACAAATTGTAATTATCTTATCTAATCGCAGCATCAGAGATTCGCGAGCGATGAGCTCATTCGGATTTCATATTTCTTTGCCCAACTAATCTCTTTAACCCAATTGCAATCTTGCAGCTGAACGCACCTAGCTGCAATTTGACAAGTCTTAGCCATGGCTGTTAAGTGCGTCCCATTGGCGCTGTCACTTCTCCTGCTGGTCCTGGGCCTAGCTGATGCCTTCGATCACACACTGAAACTGGACTTTCCGGGTCCTTATTGCGCAAGACAGAACACATGCTGCAAGAATCGGCGCGACGGCTGCTCGCTGCCCATATCCAGTGAGTCAATTTTTCCATATTTTCTTAAAAATATTCTCTTATTTCCAACTCTGCTAATTATTATGAATCTCCTTTCACACAGCCACGCTGTGCTACTGTGATGAGTTCTGTGATCGCGATGACTCCGGCGATTGCTGCCCGGATTATCGCTCCTTCTGCTTCAATGAACCGGATCCGGTGCTCAGCTGCCTGCACAACGGCGTCTACTTCCACAAGTACAACAACACGTGGGACAACTGCAATGAGTGCCGTTGCCTAGACGGCGGTCGGGTGCAGTGCGACACGGATCTGTGTCTGACGGACGACGAGCTCATCAACAGTGTCAACTCGATCCATCAGCTGGGCTGGTCGGCGCGCAAATACGACGAATGGTGGAGCCACAAGTACAGCGAGGGTCTGCGCCTGCGTCTGGGCACCAAGGAGCCCACCTATCGTGTCAAGGCGATGACACGCCTCTCGAATCCGTCATCGGGCCTGCCACGTAGATTCAATGCCGTCGAGAAGTGGTCCAGCTACATTTCCGAGGTGCCCGATCAGGGCTGGTGCGGTGCCTCCTGGGTGCTGTCCACCACTTCGGTGGCCTCCGATCGCTTTGCCATTCAAAGCCAGGGCAAGGAGGTGGTCCAGCTGTCGCCCCAAAACATACTCTCCTGCACACGCCGGCAGCAGGGCTGCGAGGGCGGCCATCTCGATGCCGCCTGGCGCTATCTGCACAAGAAGGGCGTTGTCGACGAGACCTGCTATCCATACACACAGCGCAGAGACAGCTGCAAGATACGCCACAACAGCCGCTCGCTGAGGGCCAACGGATGCCGGCCGGCGTATGGCGTCAATCGGGACAGCTTCTACACAGTGGGCCCGGCATACAGTCTGAAGGGCGAGACAGACATCATGGCAGAGATCTACCATTCGGGACCCGTGCAGGCCACCATGCGCGTCTACAGAGACTTCTTCTCCTATTCGGGCGGCGTCTACCGTCAGACGGCCGCCAATCGCGGTGCACCGACTGGCTTCCACTCGGTCAAAATTGTCGGCTGGGGCGAGGAGCACGATGGAGTCAAGTACTGGGTAAGCTAAGGGCTAGGCAAGATATCGGATTACGGTATGCTCATTTATTTATTTATTTTTTTCTATTTACTCTCCAGATTGCGGCCAACTCGTGGGGTCCTTGGTGGGGCGAGCGTGGCTACTTCCGCATATTGCGCGGCTCCAATGAGTGCGGCATCGAGGAGTACGTGCTGGCCTCGTGGCCCAACGTGTACAACTACTACAACGCGAAGGCGGCGGTGTAAATGGAGCCGAGCCAAGTCGAGTTGAAAAGTTCTCGAAATCTCGAGCTAAAACGCAGTGACGAACAATTTATCTCATGTTTCAAAATTTTCCATTTGCTACGACACTGAAAGTGAATTAGGCGCTTCTCTAATTGTAAATTTATGTTAGAACTTAGGTACTAAAATGATTAGCTTTAAGTCGCGCTAAGTCGACACCACTTTGATAACTGCCCCCCAAAGCCCAGCTCCATCTCCAGCTCTCCAACGAAATAGTAACTCTTGAACTTGTTGTTTTAGCTAACCAATAGCGACTAATTTATCGAACTCGAAGTAACAGAAAAACTGCCACATTAACCATCATCCTGCCCAGCCCCACACCTCTGACACCTAATACTGCCACAACGAGTAGCAAGCGAGCAAGTAGGTCGCTTGGCCCATCAATCAGGTTCTCTTTTTTCTTAGCGAGTGATCAATGTGAGAGTATGAGAGATGTAAAGAAAGGTATTCGAACGCGTAGGAACGAGTAGGACCGAGTGGAGGGTTTGTGTACGAGTATGTCGAATGTTTGCATACTTATCCACTCATGTATTGTAGATGAAAGCTAAGTTAAACTGATATATAGACCGATCGCATCTGTTCGGCTTTAAATTGTATATGTATGTATGTATATTTTTAATAAAGGAATTGTATTTCATGTTCACGCTATGTTTCCTTTACCCGATTCTCATGCAAATAATATTCAACTGTTTTTTTTTTTGTTGCCATTTGACTATTAATTTGCTAAAAACAATTTGATCTTAACTTTATTTATGCACAATCAAAAATCTGTCAAATTGCATCAATAATAATTAATGAATAATTTATAATGGTATATAATTTTTTACTGTAGCTCTTCGTTTGTTTAACAATATTTCACATCTTTTTGTTTTTGTTTCGTTCTGTTTTTCTACGTTTTCTTTTTGCAAGGGGTTAAATAATAGATATAATATAAAATACAATTCTTTTTGGGGGATAATTACTTGTAATTATGAACTAAATACACGATAATGATAATAAAGGAGAAAAATCATCGAGAATGTTGACACTTTGCACTTACACGTATATAATCGAAAATCAAACTTTTAAGCACTTCTCTTTTCATGTTTTTTTGATTTTTTGGATAGTCTCGCACTATCTTAGACATACTACAATTTATCATGGAATCTTGTTTCTTTTAGAAAACACAGTTTATACCGTTGTTTTGATCGCTTTTCAAGGTTCTGTATTATTCTGTTTATCCAGCCTTTGAAAGAGTGGGTTTAACTATTTGCCGACTGATAAGCAGCATTACAAAAATATGCGTGATCGAGGGGCGTTGTTTACTGTGTTTAAGTGGGTCGCAAATTAAGGAGGATTTCGTCTTTAATTGAGTGTGATGCCAGCAAACGAGACTTCCAGTGCGGCGTCATTTGACTCCATGCGACTGCGCAAATGTGCCAGCGTATTCTTATAATGACTCTCGATCTGCTTGGTTTCCTCGCTAGGTTCCAGATTTGGCAGCTCTTCGTTTACCTTAGCAATGAGCTGCAAAATGTGATGGGAGTGTGTAAATCGGCACGGGAGTAAATATTAGAGCAGAAGCCTCACCTGATTCAGCATGGCTACTGTGATGAGAGAATTGCCGCGCTCAAAGTAGAATAGATAATGATTCAACAGCTCCACGTACAGCTGCACTTGCACTCCCGTATCCAGACAGTGTGAAGCGATGCGTGCGCCCTTCTTTAGACAATCCAGCGTACGTTTCTCGTCCCGCATTTCCTCGCCATTTTGCCTGCAACGACAGCATATTAGATTGGGACTTGGATTTAAATTCTATTTTCGATCTACTCACTTGCCGCTCCAGAAGAGCGCCGCACAGGCCACCACACCCCGACACTGATCTGGCTTCTTCAGCAGTTTGGACGCGGCCAGCGCGCAATTGGTGCGCAGCGGCTCTGCGTTCTCCTCGCCAAAACAGGACATTTGCTCAAATGTGGACATGATGAGCGTTATGGCCGCTAGTTGCGCCTTCGAGTCGGATATCTCATCTTCGTACAGCGAAAAGGCCTGCGTCATGAACTCGTATGCCACAGTCTCGTGATTTGTGTACCGAATCTCGCCAATAACCAAGGCACCTTGCAGGTACAGGCGCAATGCCAGGTCTGGCAAATCCGCTTTGGCCAATGCACTGATTGTGCTGTGGCAGTACTGCACAATCTTCTGGCATTTCTTGTCCCAGTTCTCATCCTGTTCAGCAATTGCCTTGTATTTAAACGCCAGTTGATAGGCGGCAAATACAAGTGGAGGGAGGACGTGCTTCAGTCGCTGGCCTCCGCCCTGGCCCAAATGTTTGCGGGCTATCTGCAGCATTTTGTATTGCATATCCGGCTCATCAGATTTTAAGAGATGTATAAACCTATACAAGCAAACGATTATGAAATTCAGCTGTATCCGATGCAATGCCACATCAACTTACCGTGCAACAACGCCCTGCTCCTCCGCAAACTCTTCGGCGTCGGCACTATTATTGGCAGCTGTCGTGTTCGTCTCGTCATCCTTGATCAGCGGTGTTATGATCGTTAATATGCTATCTGCCTGATCGGCTGTGGGCACCAGCGTCTCATTCTCCAATATGTTCATAACTAAATATAAAGCCAACGATTTGCGCGAAGTGTAATCAAACTTCTCCAACAGAGGACAAAAGTTTTGCAATTGTATAATGGTCAGCGCGTTGTTGTAGAAGTCAATGCAGATGCGCAGCAGACGAGACAGTTCCTGATTTACAGACAACAGGTGCGAAATGCTGCAAGGTAAGTAAGTAAATACAATTAACATTGATTCATGAATAGAGCCGCGAAACTCACTTGTTCATGTTCATGCGGTCGAGTATTTTTGCGGTTGTGCCTAGCACTTTGTCCACATAGTCAACCCGATCGGCATACACTTTCTGTGCTAAGCTGAGTAAGGCCACTTGTAGCGATATTGTGTCCTCCAGCGGCATGTCCGTGCGCGTTTGCACAATGTTTGCCACCTGTACGCTGAACACCTCAAACAGCTCCACTTCGGCGGGTATGATGGCATCGATGGCATTGCCGCTCGACTGCAATACAATTCGATTAATATATTTCTCAATTCAAGTGAGTTGAGTTTCCTTACTTTGCCACTGCGTTGATTATAGGCTGCCAGTCGTTCGATGAGCGATATTATGATATTTTTAACATTCACGCCTGTCTCCAGCTGGGCGCAGGACTTTAGGAACGGATCGAGTGTCTGCAAATGAAACTCGTCGGGAAATACTTGGATGATGCACTCCATTAGATACTCTTGCGCAATGGCATCTCGACAGCTGACCACCTGCTCCAGTATGCCAGGCAGTATCAAACGCCTGTACGTCTCCAGTGTGGCAGACTCCAGCTGCGACAGACGCACCAAGTTTGTGCCAACCAGAATTTTCAGCTCTTCACGTTCCTTTTCTCTGCGGGTTTTCTCGCTTGAGTGGCCCTGATGCTGCATGCGCACCCACAATTTATTCATCTCAGCGAAATTCGTCAGCACAAAGTCGATGGCATCATACACGTTGCCCTCGTGCTCATTCTCTGCTACCAGAACGTCGGGCAGTATGTTGCGGGTGCACTGCAGCAGATAATTGCGTAAGAAGAGACCGCGCAGCGGATGCTGCACGCCTCGGCACATCTCCACCAGATCCTTCAGAATACTGCGCTTTAACGTCGAATCGTTCTTTATGTACACAATGCCCACAGTGATGAGCAGATAGAGACGTGGCACTATCGTGTGCGAGTACTGAACCAGTTCATATAGATCCGTCTCCTTGTTGTTCTTCTCGCTTAGATACAGCTCCAGGTGGCACAGTTCATTCGTGATGGACATATCTATGGACAAATATTTATTAAATGATTGTTTGCAATGTCTAATCTTATAGCTTATATGCACTTCATATACTTACACAATTCGTAATAGCTCTTCGGTGATAGCACCGAGGTGCGCAACTCGCTTAGCATCGTGCTGGCACATTTCAGTGCGTCCAGCATTCGCTCCTTGTCCAGAAAGTGATTCATTTGGAATGCCTGTTTACGCGCCGCACTGGCCGCCTCGGCGAGTAGCTTCTCCTGGTCGTCCAAACCATTCGGCATCGTCTGAAATGAGACATAGCATACAATGTCCGGCAATGTGGGCCAACGATCCGATGAACGCGAATACATGGGAGAGGATGAGTAATTTCAACAGCGTCAATTTAAAAGAGAGAGTTGAGATTTACAAACACAGAAAGCACAAAACACAAAAACAGAGCCGAGTGTGATGAGATAAGCGTCGATAGCTCGTTCGGCTGCTGCTGGATTGAGCGAAAGATGATAACATAAAACAAGAGCTGGAATTGTTTTTGCCCAGACTTCGACCGATTGCTGACTGCGATCCCCGCCCAGGGCGTGCATTCGGTACAAAAGCGAACAAATAGTAGTAAAATATTAGTGCAAAAAGGAGTAGTAGTAAGTGGAGTGGTGTGAGGGGGGTGTGGAGTGTTGGATAAGCATTGCCTCTGCGTGGCGTATTTACCCTGGTTTGGCCACCAGTGGGCGCTTGGCCGCCGTACGTGGAAGAGTTCCAGGGATACATGCTGGATGATCAGGGTGCTGTGCTTTTGGTGGTGTTGTTGGTATATGGTTATGTGGACTCCAGTAATGCTTGCGGCTGCGGCTGCAAATGGCAAATCGCACTAGTTTTTGCCGCTAGCAAAGTGGGCGGGCGAGGGCGCAGTCAGCGTTTTAGCGTTCGCAGTTTCTTTCTTTTCTTGTAGCTACTTGGGTACTTGCACTGTGCTGAAATGTCTGTTTCCGGCTTCTGGCGACTACGTTCGGGTTGAGGGCGCACTTACCATTTAAGCAGCGTTTAGTGGGCGGAGCAAGGATGAGAAATTATCTTAAATTAAAGTAATTTTTTCAATAGTTTTGTACTCAGTGTGACCACAGGCGGCAACCGCTGAAATACATCACGCATAAAATACTATAGAAATAAAAATACCATAAAGTGTAGATATGCACTTTGGTCACACAGTCAGAGGAATTCACTTCGAAATGTATGATATGCGTATATTTATAGCCGGGCTATGTAAGATTAGTAATTGTATGATTCGAGTGCAAAGCAGTTAGTTTTTCGCTTGTCTTTTTTCGCGAAGTTCCTTGCAAAGAGCATCTTCATCTATCTCAGAACCCGGTTGCTTATTCGCAGCGGCCTTTTCGAGCTGCTCCTTCTCCATCCTGGCGACGCCTTCGCGGACAACCTTATCAATATCATCAATCAATCCGGAAGCGCCGAAGCGGAAACGTTGCGGTGTTAACCAGCGAATGCCCAGAGTCTCCTTAACAAGAGTCATCCAGCAGATGGCGTCTCGCACTGTGCGCACTCCGCCAGCTGGCTTGAGGCCAACTATTTGGCAAGTGCGTCGTTTGAACTCCTGTATGGCAAAAATCATGACCAAGCCAACGGGCAGAGTCGCGTTCACCATCTCTTTGCCTGTGGAAGTCTTTATGAAGTCCGCACCCGCCATCATGCAAACCATGGCCGCCTTGTACACCTAATAAGCAGAGTAAACCAATAAGAGATTCAGCTAAAGATCTCTCACTCACGTTCTCCATGGTGCCAAGTTCGCCAATTGCCAGGATGGTCTTGAGCAGTGCGTGGTCACCGCAGGCGCTGCGCATGAGCACCACCTCGTTGTAGAGCGCTTTCCAGTCGCCCAACAGTGCCAGCTGCCGATTGATGACAATGTCGATCTCCGTGGCACCCGCGAGAATGGCATGGCTTATTTCCTGCAATCGCGTCTGCAGTCCATACTGCCCGGTGGGAAACCCACTAGCCACTGCGGCAATCGCAACTCTATCCAACTGCTTAAATTGTTCAACCGTTGTATAGGCGTCCTGTACACGTGCCGGATACACACAAACAGCGGCACAGTGGATGTCCAGCAGAAGGGTGCGCTCAAAGAATTTGTCGAAAAACTGCGGCTCAAAGGGATAACAGGCGCGCACGCACATCCGACGCACGTTCGCCTTCGTATCATCTCCAGCCAGCGTGGTCAAGTCAGTCAACATGAGCGCTCTCAGAGCCCACGCGATTTCATTTGTGCCCGTAACTATACACTGGCTCGATAGGGTCATTGCAATCTCCTCCACTTGGCGTAACGATATGTTTACAGTTAAAAACGTGGGATCTGAAATATTTGTATGGAGACTGAATGGCACATATGCATATATAAATAAGACATGCCTTACCAAATGGCAGCGTTTTGTTTACAACCAAATTTTTGGTCTCCATGTTCAAAGTGGAACTGAAAATAATGTTTATACGAGAAACTCCCAATTTAAACAGAGGTTATATGGTACGTATAAATGCGTTGAATTATGTGAAATATTAGTATTATGCTTTAAGACTAACTAATTAACAATCCAATTTTAAGCAGAACAGCCTGCATATGTATTCGAAACCGACTTGAGAGTCAAAGCTAGGAAAATTTGATCAAATCGCTTTTCTTTTTTGATAAATAGAAAACGAGTTTGGCTGTTAGGTTTAAAAACACGCCCATTTCCAATAATAGACAGGCAATGACTTGCATCTATGAATGGATAGATAACAAATACAAATACAAATCAATTTAATTCTCACTCTAGGAATAATAACACAGACAGTAGTCATTCATTTGTGACGGCCAACAGTAAAATAATTTCATTTAATTGTCCTAATTATACTAAAAATATATTGCATTGAATTTGGATCGGGTAACGTTAAGTTGATATATCAACGATGCTTCGACCACTGCTCCCAGTATTCCTGTTTCTGCATCTCGTAGAGTCGTGACACGGTGCGTTCATAGGCAAACATTTCCTCTTCTCCAGTAAATACGCTCGACTGTCATGGAAAAAACAACTAATTTTAATTTAAATGCAAATATTTAAACAATTTTAAGGCCTTACCGAACTCTCGTTCAGTTTCAAGTCGTCCATCAACGAACGATCCGCATCAGTTATTTTAGTCTTTTCAGAGACTTGAAAAAGGCTGTCCAGCGGTTCATCCGCTGAGATAACAACGCGAACTCGATTGTCGTACAAAGTATCAATAAGCGTAATGAATCTCCTCATTTGGGATCTCACGTTAAGATTTAGCTGGGGCACATCGTGTATAAGCACTGTATGAAAGAATTGTGCTATCTGGACGTAGTCGTTGCCTCCTAATGGCTGCAAACGACAAACATTAACAATAGTCTCCCATTATCAAATCGAAGAGATTACTCACGCGATCGCAGAGCTCGACGAAGCTGCTGTTAAGTACCTGGCCACACGTGCGTTGAAAGGTCAGTTCGCGTCCAAAATGTGTGATTGTGCGGGGTCTGATGATGTCGTTCTCCTCAGAGCACAGAATCTTGAACATGCGATTCATCATCCCATCAGCGTCCGTCTTGCCTTTCACGAAATAGTTCGTGTCACCTGATTGGGCAACGCGCCGATAATCGATCGAGTCTAGATTCGCTGTCTGGCAGCGTCTCTGCAGCAGACCGATGAACGGTACAAAGTTGACGCGCTGCAAACCGTTCTTGTACAGATCCTCTGGATGCCGATTGCTTGTGGCCACGACGACAATGCCATGTCTAAAAAGGTGCGTGAATAGTCGCTTAAGTATCATCGCGTCCGCAATGTCTGTCACCTGGAATTCGTCGAAGCAAATGAGCCACGACTCGTTTGCTATTATATCAGCAACAGGTTTAGTCGGATCGAAGGGGGCTGGTTTCTCTGAGTTGAAGGCTCGATCCACTGGACCCTGTCGTTCCTTTGCTTCGTGTATGAGGGAGTGCACCTTGCTCATGAAAGCGGTGAAGTGAACCCGACGCTTTTGACGAACCTGTTAATAAGGGGATTGACAATTAAATTAATTAAATACTAATTAATATACAATATATATTAATGTATTAAGTATTAAGGCAATATTTTAAAATAAAGAATGGAAAAAATCCGAAGATTTGGTAAATTTAAACAAATTGAGATCAACTATTTATTTGCACAGGCCCGTAATAATTTTTCTTGGAACTTTTGTATTATGTCATATTCATATCGCTGTTAAATCATAGTCTTTGGTTTCTTTCATCGTCGTTTTTTTTACACACACCTCTGTAAAGCAGTCGTAAAAAATATCCATTAGCGTGGTCTTGCCCACACCCACACTACCGTAGATGTATAGACCTTGGGGGGCGTGGCTGCCCGCATCCATGTCGTCGTCGGCATCGCTGCCATCACTGGAACCACCGCCAAACATAGATGATAAGAATCCACCGCCTGATCCACCGCCGCCCTGTGTGGTTGGTCGATATCCCTGGAGTCTATGGTAGAGGTCGTCCAGCGTCTGCATTGTTTGCTGCTGCTTGCTATCGCTCCTCAGTTGACCAGACGACACTCGTTTCTGGTACTCGGCCATTGGGCTCAGGTGGCGGCATTGAAAGATTACACATGCTTGCTCAAATTGGAGCAACAATTTTGACTGGGAGCGCAGAGCGGTGCGCGCCACTGAGCCCACTTTATAAATTAACATGGTGTGGCCAAAATATTATCACGCGGTTTTGGTGGGCAGATTGATGGAATTTCTCACGTCAGCTTAACATATTACATAAACAATTTTGGCGATATCCGCGATGCCGAAACGTTGACCGCGAATTTCGTACGTTGGCGTTGGCCGTGAATTTTCACAACTGGCCAAATCACAAATGGCATTCTAACAAAATGCCAGAGCTGTTGTGTTTGCCATTCACCGTTGACAGATTGAACACGAACAGCTGTTCGCTAATTCAATCAAAAACCGGCTCCAGTTCATTTTTGAGCTTTTCAAATGAACTAGCGCAATATTTGAATTTTTCATTGAAGAATGAGAAGAAAATACACCATTTATAAATTAAAGTTCAAAGTTTACACATTTATTATACATTTATTACACACAAAATTTTGTATTAGTAAATGGAATATATTCGACGTTCTTTAACTTTCTACTGGGCTCATTTCATGGCAACTATTTCTATTTATTTATGGCTGACTTTGCATTTCTACATAGCTTTTTACATTCAATTTTTTTTACGCCAGTTAGAATCTGGGTACAACGGCTCGAATTAGTTTTAATTTAATAATTTTCTGCTGCTTTTCATGCAGGAGCAAAAAAATAAAATACATCTAAATATTTTTTACTAATAAATTCATACATTTATATAATTTATTAGGATTCCGTTTTTCTTTGGATTTGCTATTAAAGTGAATTGGGCATTGCCAAATATATATTTATATATTTTGTTTTCATCGTATTATATATTATTTTAAATTCCATTGTGCTGCATTAGTTTTGATATACAATACATTTTAGTTCACATCAATAATTAAAAAGCGCAACTTTAATTGTGACTAATAATTTGAAAAAAATTGTTACGCAGAATCTTTCAAAATCTGATACAGACATATGAACTCTATACTGCTGTTCTCAAAGATTAAATTTACTTAATAAATGTCTTTTTTTAATTATATATTTTAAATTTTGATATAAGTGTTAATTTGATGTAAAATCTAATTTTAAACACTCGAATTCCCCGCGAGAGGAGAAAACAATTTTGTTTGGATTTTGTTGTGTTTTTTTTTTTTTTTGTGGTAGCTCTAGTTCAATTTCGAATGGTCCCGACTTATATAAGAAACCTATATTAACATTCATTTTGTTTGCATGCGTCTAAAAATAAGCAAAATCCACTTAAAAACTATGTAATGCAAATTGAATTTGAATAGTATAACATTTGAATGAATTATTAACTACATTTTATTTTTTAAATTTTGGTTTTCGCTTTGAATATTGAATAATCGAATTGAACAACATGAATATTAGTACGATTTAAAAATGCCATCGAATTAGCATTATTCAAGTAATATTTTTTGTATATAAGTTAATTTAATTAATTATAAACTCCGTTCGGCCTACAATGGCCAAACACGCGCTAAAAATCAGTACAATTGATTCACATCTCATCTTGGGATTATATAATTAAATTCTTAAAAAAAATTCCAAAAAATTATTGCTTTTGATTTGCATATATATTTTACAATTCGAATTATATAATTCAATATTTAATTAACTGGTCAAGCTCGGTAAACTAATTTAATTCTCGTTTAGTTAGGGAATAAAATCAGAAAAGAAAAAATATTTATACTCTGGAAGTTGTAAGAAAAACACATTGAAACAGAAATAAATTAAAAGTATATATTTTATATTTGTTGAATATGTACATAAAGTTCGATACATAAATAATATAATTAAAGTGACTAGCGTTAAAGTAGAGTAAGTGTAAATGATACATATATACAGAGATAATACAGCTATGTTTTACGAGTCTATTTGTAGCTTGTACATTACGAAACTTAGGCGATAAAGTTGAGGGAGCTTTTCTATTTATTGTATATAGTATTTGTATATGTAAATAATCCTTTGGATTTCGTATGCACCGAATTTTGAGAAACCAAATGGCTAATTGGGTCTATAGTAATAATAATTATAATTTTAATCATAATAACGACCCCAGCTAGTCGCTGGCCATGCTCAGTCGTTGTGTTTCTATAGTGGAGGAGGAGGAGACGTTTAGAGCACGTGCAGATTTTCGCAGCTCTTCGACTTGGAATCTCGCGTCCAGACGCGTCCGAGCAGTCCCTTGACCTTGAGGCTAGTAGATGTACGCGAACCGCGATATTTACGTGGGCTACACAACAAATGAGGTGAAAAAGTTGGCGTTCTAATTAGCTGTCTGGCATATGGATGCTCACTAAGCAACTCACCTGCTGTGTGCACTGCCGGGCGGCGTGCCAGAGCCATCGCCCAGTGGACCGCCAAGCGGGCCCAGCGGCGTATTGGCATTGAGGCAGCCCGAGCTGAGCGGTGAGCACGCACGACGCTTGGACTTGCGAATGGAACGCTTGCGAAATAGATCCCTGTAAATGAATTAAAATTTAGAGTTTTTTTTTTTTTTTTTAATTGCAATTGAAAGATTTGCAAGCCACTCAAATACCAACCTGGATTTTTCGGGATTCTCGAGCTTGAGGCGTATCTGGGAGAGGAGACCCACCAGCAGCTCATCCACGTTGTGATTAATGCCCACCGATGTCTCAATGAATTTGCAATCGTAGGCGGTGGCCATGGCCTTGCCCTCTGCAATAAACAAAGATGGTAAATATTTTTTAGTGCTTTGCTGTGAATCTCAGTTATGCGGCAAGTTAATCAAATCGAATTGCGTCGCTTAGTTAAACTCTTGGGCGGGTAATAAAAAGCAAAACTTGGACACTTAATACCTAAACACGTTGCCCATTAACCTCAGCCCCTCCGCAAACAGCGACAGCCGCCTCTCTCTCTCACACTCACTGAGCTCCCTCTGGCCATGGATGCTGTCAGCTCTATAGATTTCGTCACGTTTGCTGCGCCTGCTGTCGTTAAAATCTTTAGCCTACGAGTACAATAAGTAGCTATGCGTATGTTTTTGCAGGCTCGTTTTTATGGCAACCACACACACACACACACACACACACTTACGCAAACACACACACACACACCCCACATATATATGGGGTTTTATTAACGATGTGCGAAAAAAAGTTGGCGTCATTTTATTAGATTTTGATAGGATGTTCTCATCGCCTGGCCGACTCCGCAGCTTTTCTTAAATGCCATCAGCTTATTACGGTGCTTTTATTAAACACCCAGCTGGCTGTAGTGCTGCGAACCTTAAAGATTTATTTTGCAAAAATATTTGCCACCCCTTTTGCATCGGCGTTGGCTCACGAAAGCTCAGCTCAGTTCAGCTCGGGCGCTTAATTAAAAGCAAACACAAATCATAAGCAATGAGAACTACTTGGCAGCCAAATGGCAAATGCCAAGAATTTCAAATATTTGCGAGTGCAGCTGAGCTGCTCATATTTATACATATATATATCATATGTATATATATAGTACGACCCCAGATATCATTTAAGCATTAGCTCACTTCCTGTGCACTTTAATTGCTTTTTTATTTGATTTTCTTTTCTTTTTGCATTTATTAATTTCGTTGAGGTTTGCTCATGTTTTCGGTAATCCTGTCCTGCTCCACACCAAATGCTATAAATATTTTATGAAATTTCTGCTTAAACATCATCCCCTAAGCATTCTCTTTATATTGACAACAATAGAAATGGGCTTATTAAGGCGTAAGCCGCAGGAATGAAATGTAATCAATTTTGTGCTTAAACAATTTTCCCAGCTACATAAGTAGTATAAAAGCGCGTCCATTTGCTGCTCTTCGCAGACGCCGTCCTATGACCTAAATTTGCTTCTCGCTACATTTTTCTGCTTTGCTTGTTTTGTCAACGCGGCCGACACTTTCATAAGCGGCCATTAGAAACAAATGTAATTTGTGAAAATATTGAATTTCCTAGATGAAAGCCATGCCTGGTGGATTGCTGGCTAACGGTGAATAAATCTCCTGACCGTTTAAATTGATATTAAGGTAGATGGCGATACTTAAATACCCTTGAGAAAATTGAGTTAATATGTTTCAAATGGCTGTTGGCTTTCGTATACTAAATTCGTTAAAGTCTGTTAGTTAACAGAAATGCAAGGGTTATTTTGATACTCATTTTTGTCTCTTCAAATTAACACTGAGTGCGAGATGTTACTATGTTAATAACAGCTCATTGAATGAGGAACACTTATGTTAACAGGAGCTCATTTAAATAGCAGAGAGTGCGAGATGTTGCTATGTTAATAGCAGCTCATTGAATGAGGAACACTTATGTTAACAGCAGCCCATTTAAATAGCAGAGATCTGTAACTGTCTAAACTCCAAGTCCAATAAACATTTTTTTTGGGCTGTCTTGATTTTAATAGTCAAGCAAGCCTTTCAAAGGACTTTGAAAATGTTCACATATTAGAGGGTATTTAAATGGTTGTGCTTGAGTAAACATAAAAAGCAATGAGCGCCCAGTTGAGTGACCTTCACTTGCTTTACATTTAACGATAGCCTCTATACATTTAAATACAATATATATATGCGTACATGGTGTGTGTGTGTGGGTGTGGGTGTGTAGGTGTATGCTTCGTTGGGCGAACCGCCAATCAACTTCCGCTTGATCAACTTTCATTGAAAAACCAAAATTAAAGCGACTGCAGCTGTCTGTGGCCGCTTTTATGGTGTCCTTTGCAGACATCCAACGACGTCCAACAATAGCAATAATAACACACACACACACACAGACACACACATGCACACACCGATTCACCTTGTCGGTGTGTGTGTGTGTCTATTTTTAAGCGAAAATATCCAATCGAGCACATTTTGAAGTGCTAATGAAAGGCAAAAGTGGAAATCGTTTAGTCAGCTGCATTGAATCTAGTTTATTTACCTTCGGATGTAACGAGTCGACTCCTGGCGAGGTCCGCTTTGTTCGAGACAAGAATAACGGCTTTCTGTGCGATGTTTTGATTGGTCCATAACACCTGAAGCACCTGCTCGGCAATGTTGAAGCTGCTGCGGTCCGCGGCGGAGTAGATGACGCAATAGCCATGTGGATCATAGTTGGTCAAGCATTCATCCGGCTGTGAAAGCAAAGGACACAAATTTGACATTGAGTGAGGTTCAAGAGATGCCTGAGCTGTGTGAATGGGTGATGTGTCTGTCTGTGTGAATGTCTCTCTGTGTGTGTGTGTGTGTTGCTTGTGTATGTTAATGGCATTATGAAATGTCACAGATAAAGTATCTGTAAGGTTGAAAGGCTGCGAATTGACCTTGGTACGAATGGCATTTTGAGCGAGCTATCGCCACATAAAAGTCGGAGTACTTACGGTCATTTCAGTGTATCCATGATCTATAAATATTAGCTCGGACTCCTCGCCGCTGAGTAATACTGATACGGCTTTTTCGCCAGATTCGTCATCTATTCGTTTGAAAAAGAAAAGATTGATTAGAAACGAGTTTCGATACTTGGCGATTATTATTTATAAACAATATACTATAGAATAAGAGTAATCATAAGAATAACTAAAAGCAAGATAAAGCTACAAAGAAAGAGGTGCAAAGAACGTGATAATCATTCAGATAGAGGTAGTTCGTTTTACTAATATACATGTACATATATTTACAATTGGCGGATTGGTGGATGGTGTTTTGGTTCTTTGTATTACTTTCGTTTTTGGTGGCATTTGTCATGCGATTCAAAATTTGCATTCTTAGAGGGAGGCTGGCGAGGGGGCTGACAGCTCTAACATGATGTATGAGGAGGACAAATACATAAAGCTTGATGCAATAAAACGTACTTTATCGAGGATGTTTTCAAATATTTGATTGATATATGCTCGCGAATGGAAAGTTCGCCGAGCGCCCAGAGGTATGCAATGAAATATGAATGGCCGTGTGCTTGACTGTGCGTGAGTGTGTGTGCGTGTGTTTTTGATTTTAACAGGCATATTGCATACATTTATGTAAATTGATTGTTTTTAGAGCCTATTGAACGCCCACAACTGCAAATTGATGATATATCTGATATATCTGATACATCCTGACCCTTCATCCTGCACTTTACCATTTTCCATTTTCAATTTACAATTTATGGCAGTCTGTAAATTACAGCTGTAATTGAGTATTATTTTTTCGTTTTTTTTTTCTCCTCGTTTTTTTTTTTTACATTTATTTATTGCATTCACTGATTACCCAACTGAAATTTCATGATGTTTTAAAGTCGCCTCTGGTAATTTGAACAGTTGAACAGGCTGTTTAATTAAAGCCGTGATAAATTAATTATTTGCATAAAGTATTTATAGATTAACTACTTTTAGGTCACAATATATCACTTGCCCAAACTCAATCGACATAATGACATTTACACATATTTGTATTGGGGTTTCATTAATATTAAGCCGACCCATTTGCAGGGGATTAGTTTATGGCAGGAGGAGGAGGATGAGGAGAAGGAAGAGCTCTGTAGCACACAAAGCCGATTTTATTGAAGGTAATCATATTTTGGAAAGGGCAACTTGTGTTTGTTTGTTTATTCTTTTTTTCTTTTTGGCAGGGAAGGGGCCGGGTTGTGTGTGTTTCTGTGTGTGATAAAGTAAACTACTAAGGACTTAAGCCGGTGGCCTAATCGGCGGGGCGTGTAGTACGTGGTCGTGTGTCCAGTGTGTTAAGATTAGATAAAATTAAGAGCTAGTTAGAGTAAGTTAATTGGAATTCAATTGGAAACGCAACGCAAATGCAGCTCAAACGTTAAACAGGTGAGGAAATGAAAAGATTTTTGTATATTTGGTTTTTGTAAAGTGTTTAGGTTGATAAAGTTTTTGGAAAGCGTTTAGTATAGATTAAATATGGAATTGGAATAAATATTATTATATATTGTATAATTAATTTGAATAGATTTGTATTTTTTGGTTTGATTGTTGTTGTTGCTATTACCGTCGGCGGCTTTTTCAATATGTATGCGTATATCACAGTTGCCTAGATCTGAATTAAGTTTCGTTTCGTTTACGGTTCGATTGATGTTTTTGTTTGGATTTTTTATTTTATAATTGTTGTTGTTGTTATGTTGAATGAAACATTAGGTTGTTATATGTGGTTATATATGGTCGAAAGACGAGAGAGAACAGAAAAATATCAATAATTTTATATTGTTGTGTTTTGTTTGGTGTTAGAATATTAAAAATGAGATTTTACATTAGTTTTTGTTTTTTTCTGTGCTTGCTAAAAAGTTACAGCAATAATTTTGATGGAAAATTGGAGTAGAATTTCGTTAGCATATATTTTGTAAGCTATTCAAATTTCTCTCTCCAAATTTCCGCATTTTAAAAAGCATTTTTTCGCGCTGTACATCTGCACGAATTTTTATATTTCTTTCATTTTATTTTCAGTTTTTTTTCTCGAATTTGTGTGCAATTTTTCCCAAATACGCGTTGTAAAAATTTTCCAGCACAATTCGTTTGTTTCGATTTGCCAATTTATGCGATCAAATCTCAGTGGCCATATGTACAAGGCGGGTCGTAAAAAGTCAACCGACATAAAGCGAGAAATGAAAATAATGATAAATATAAATATATATGCATTTGTGATATGCTCGTAAATTGTTGTAGTCAAGGGCAAAGTCAAAGCACAGAACGACACACAAAAATTCAACAGATAAACAAAAACAAATTTCAAAAAAAAAAAAAACAAAAAAAACCACGCAAATGAGACAAAAAAAAAAAAACAACAACAACATAGAAAATCAAAATCATTTGTGAAGGCAAATGCCAAGGCAACCAAAGGGGATACATCTCAACTAGACAGACTCACATTCAAGGGTCAAGGGTTGAGGACCAGACTGACACTAACACAGGGAGCACACACAGATAGACAAACACAAGCACACACACACACGCACACACGCACACGAACACAATGATAAAAAGCATTAAAACGTAAACCTAAACACTTAGACGAAGTTTTAGCAGCATTCAAGTGGTTCGTCTCTGGCTGGCCAATGGCTGGCCGTGCAACAATTATGGTAGCGGGACGGTGGGTGGGTTTGGGTGGTGGTATTGGAATGGAGGCTACTCACCAATGCTTGTGTCATATGCATGCAAATACTCCGAGGTCATGAACTGCGAGACTAGCGAACTTTTGCCCACGGCCGGACCGCCAAGCATCAGAACTCTGCAAACAAAAATGGGATTAGCTTGAGCTGAGCTGAGCTGAGCCGAGTGGCGAACGCTGTTGGTGTGCACGTGGCGGATTTACCTGTAGGGTCCGTTGCCCGGATTGGAGGTGCTGCTCTCCCGACTGGAGGCCAGCGAGGTGCGTGCCGATGTGGAAGTGGGCGCCGGCAGTTGCTGTTGACCCTGCTGCAGCTGCAACAGTTGCTGCTGATGCTGCTGCTGCTGGGCGGTCAAGTGCTCTGTGCTGGAGTTGGAGCTGGCCACGCTGTTGTTGGAGCGACTGCGTCGGCTCTTCAGCGAGTCGCCACGATTCACCACGCCCTTGCCCGTGATGGAGAAGTGACGCAGTCTGTAGTACTCCTCCTCGACGCCAGTGTTGGGCATGGAGGCGACCCTAAGGAAATCAAATGTTTACTCATCACTGGCCATTTGGCTGGAGTGGGCGCAGCGCACTTACCGAGATCTCTGCTGGGGCAGGCATAGCTGATTTGGCCGGCCCGAGGCGCGACTGCCCGGCATCTTCACCGACTGCGAGCGGCTGTGATGTGGTGAGCCATAGCTGCAATTGTCAAAAAAAAAGAAAAGGGAAAAAGTGTCAAATTAATAACACTTTTCAACTGGCCGAGAGCGTGTCTGAAATTCCATTTGCTGCAATTGACAGCAGCCAAAATGGGGTTTCAGCTGTGAAATTTAAGCGTTAATTGAATTGTCAACACACGCACACTCTCTCACACACACACGCACACAGACATTCGTTTTGTGCGCTGGCTTGGCCTTGCAACTGTAGCTGGCATTTGCACGCATGTTTGTTAACTTGGCTGATTCGGAGCTCTCTCTCTCTGTGTCAGAGTTCATGGCCTGTGCCATCACTTGACCACACTTGATTCGCACAAGCTAGGCTAAATGTGCCAAACGTCAAACAATTTAATTGAATCCATTAAAAAATAGTTTAACTATAGATCAAAATTAATTTGAATTTTCATTAAAATTTAAACATAAAATTTAAATATAATCTGATTTTTTTTCAGGTATTTTCTATTTTTTCCGTTTATTTTTATCTACTTAAAAAACGCCTTCAAGCGTGCCTAAGCTGGCAGGATTTAAGGGCTTAGTGCGCACTTGGCTTGGATTTCAAGTAGCGTTCATTTTTTTTTTTTATTTCTATTAGAGTCATAATGCAGAGACTATAAACTGAGTATATAAAACTTGAACTTAAACTAAAACATAAACTTGGGCATATTCTAGCCTTGGCTGCCCGGCTCTGGGTTTTTATAGCCTTTTGCAGATGATATCAACAGGTAAAAATGTTTTCTACGGCCATGCGTCGTATACGTAATATGTGAATATCGAATCTCGAATTTATAGCCTCTGCTCAAATTGGAAATAAATGAATTTCAAATCAGTTGCAGGCCATCAGGGCCGTCCTCAATCAGCAATTCGATAGCACTTTGCTTTGGCTCTGCTTATGGCATTAAATGCAATCCTCTCAGTTGATGGCGATTTCAGCTTTTGCATTCGCATAGACTTACCGCATTTCAAAGTCGCGCAGCTCCTCAATGGTTAGCGTATTGGTTACATCCAGCAGCTGGCGCATGTTCTCATCTCGTTTGTGTTGCTGTTGTTGCTGCTGCTGCTGCTGCTGCTGCTGCTGGGAGTAGCCATGCCCCTGCACCTGGTGATGGTGGTGCTGGTGCTGGTGCTGGTGCTGATGCTGGTGTAGCTGTGCGCCGTGCGGCGGATGTGCTAGCTGCTGTGAATGCCTCTTACGTGCATTCAGCTCTTTGCCTTGCTCCACACTGATAAAGTCCCCCTCGTTTTTGATGAGCAGCGTCTCGACCGTGTTGTCCATGCTGAGCGATGGCTGTGGATGGAGGTAGGCAAGAGTAGGATTTGATTTAAGCGGATTGTTATAATTCAATGGGACACCCTTATTTACGTGAGTGCTGCGCTCGCCTCAATTAGCACTGAAGGTTGTCTATTTTCTCTTCTTTTGTTCCCATTCCTTTACTGGAAACTGAAAACTTTTCTCAATACCCTGGCTTGAGCATTTTGCATAGAATTTCTATTCAGACCCTCGCCCATTGCCGTGCTATTTTTTCGAGTGGCTCAAGGCTCTGCTCCACTTGGCCGTGGAGTGGCTCTGTCCAAGCTATACACTGGCGCAAAATAACTTTTCGCCTTATCTACACCTTGAAGTGTGGCGAATGCAACTGCCTGGCGGCATCGCGTGCTGCCTAAGTTGGCAACAAAACAAAAAAAAAAGCCAAAAAAAAAAAGGAAGAAGGCTAAGCATTTTGCCATTTGGTGTCGAGGCTAAAGACTTTTACTACAACTTCAGCTGGAAGCAAGTAAACAGGGTCATTAGCAGACCAATAAATTCAAATGAACTGATATTCTAATGAGACCTAGTTGCCGCTACAGTTGTTCATAAAGGTGTAGCAATTCATAAAAAAAAAGCTGCAAATATTTCTAGAAACTTACATAAGGAAATGCTAGATAGCTATCTAGCCTTACAAGGTTTTGCTTTGTTATTCAAGCCCAGCCTTTACTAATTGCACGTATCTTGATATATTTGTCTGGTTTTCTAAGCTATATCTCTTTAGCTGCGGCAAAAGTCGTAAATAAACGCGATCAAACAAGAAAAAAACGCATTAATTTCAGCAAATTGAAAATTTTTCAACAAATTTACGCAAGCAACAAAAGTTTTGCCATAAATTACAGCCTGAAAAGACAAAGCACCTCCTAACTAACTGAGAAAGTGAGAGGGGGAGAAAGGGAGGGAAGCACACACACACTTGCACAGCTAAACATGTTGCATATTTAAGTATTTATGCGGCAAATGTTGATATTAATTTTGTATATTTTATTGGCTCGCATGACAAGAGCAGCTCTTTTTTTTTTTCGCTTGCCTAATTAATAACACATATGCATGTGTGTGTGTGTGTGTGTGCGTGTTACACCTTTAGTTAGCTGCCACGCGACTTGCCACATGCTTGCCCTTCCCCATCCCCTACCCCTTATCTTCTCAAGTGGACGCAAGTGAAACTTTTCTGCGGACTGACTCACACAAGGGACCAATTTGCGGCAAATATTGCCCGCTGTGCGCCCAGTCCTTGATTAAGACAGCCAAACTTTATGATGACAACGCGGCGTATGCGCAATTTTGCGTATTGCATGCCTGCGACATGTGTGGCAAGCCAGAGCTATGTAGATGCTAATTAAAATATAACGCAGCGCTGATAATTAAAACGAGCTGAGCACTCGACTATAAGTTTTATTTATTTCTTTTGCTACCGCCACACATATTTTCGGCTAGCCTCCCGTTGCGTCGAGCAGCGAGCAAAGCGAATTCATGCCGGCAGCCACGTAGCTGGAAAGTCTTCTATAAAAAAAAAACGAGTGTATTTCGGGCTATGTGAATATGTTGAACTTGAGGAAGAACGACTTCTTAAAGAACTTGCTTCAATACTTATTTCTCTTTAGTCAAATTATGTCAAATTATTGTTGAATATTTTCTACATCATTGGAGCTAAAAATTTAAATTTCTTTTTACTTGTGAATTCTGTTTTATTCATTTTAAATAAAATTAAATTGGTTGCTGAATTATTTAAGCAAGGTTTGTATAAAAATTTCAACAAAAAAGGTTCCCAAATTCAGTTGAAAATATTTCGCTCAAGCATAGCTAGCGAATTTATTATGTAGGACACTAAATTCATATTTCTTAGGAAATCACATAACTATAGGAGCATATGAAGTTGTATATTTTGAGGAAAAACCTAATTTAAAGCTAACTTTGATGCTCAGCTAGGTGAAGAATAATTTATTATAAAACATAACTTGCATTTCAATTCTAGTAAATTCCATTGAAAAACTTCATTAATTCTTAGTAGTCAGACTAAATATTTTCCTAATCGGCTCAAAAATGCTGTAGGAGAGCCTTATAAAGAGCATTTCTTGGTAGAGTCAACCCGACGGCAGCTACTTTGCTCAGCAGAGTGTGTTTCCCATCAATTCGCAATGGGCCATTAGCCGCCGCAAAGAGTGTGTGAGAAACATGTGTAGCGGCTTTTGAATAGACAAATTAAAGGAAATATTAATCGAAAAAAATGAACTAATAAAAAACATTGCGAATAAAATGGCATTAGCAATCGATTAGCTGCACAACAATTGGGTTTGGCAGGCGCGCGGGCCAACGGGGCGTATGAAATTTGTTGTTTACTCTAGCGGAGCTGAAGCGAAACAATTTGTTTGTTTGTTTACACCGCTTTCGCTGTAATTCAGCAATCACTATGCAGTTTTTGACAGAAATGCAATATACATTTCTAAATGAATGCAAAGTTTGGCCAAATCGTTGCTAAGGCCGGCGAAATATGCCAAATATGTGTGCATATAAATTGCTAAACTGTATTGTTGGCGTCTGCGAGCGCTCAGTTCACACCTTTAACGGCTCCGAGCCGCCATGGCCACGCCTTATTGTTTATTTTTTGCATGCATTTAAAAATAAATTCAATTTGCTTTTGAATGTGTATAAAAATAAGCATGGTACATGTCAGGCAAGACGCATGCCGTCTCACACTATCCCTCTCTCTCTCTCGCACTCTTTTTTCTGTTTTCTATCTATCGTTTCTAAAAATTTGATGCTAGCAATAAGAGCATACAATGAAACTACAATAAAGATTGCATTTGCTTTAGTTCAGTTAGAGGTAGAAAAAGAGAGGGGGGGAGGGAGAGGGAGAGGCAACGATTTGATCTCTTAACAGCTGCCATTGCCGAAATGGTGGAAAAGTTTCAGCTGCAATCATTAAGCTGAATCGATTTTTCCTATGTTTTAGTCGTGTGGAAATACTAAAAAATAATTCGATTTGCTTTTGGCCAAGCCAAACAAACTCAGTTCAGAATTGGCCAATTTATAGCTGCCAATTGATTTGTAGCTTTTTATTTTTTCATTATCAAATAATTATTTTAATAACTGGCTAAAAGATTTCATGCGCCCGTTGATAGATTAACTTGGTTATTAGCTCAGGTATTTTTGGGTATTTTCTGTTAATAATTAACTTAGTTGTTATTGGCTGTTTTCCCAATATTTTCCCATAATGTAGCTCTACTCAGTGCCAGTTCCCCACATAATTTGATTATTAATAATTTTGTTTGGTTTTGTTTTGTTTTGCTGCAATTTACTTGGCCGTCAGCCAGCCGCCTGATGCAAGGGTGCAAAGTCTGTGAGAAGTTTTCGGTCTATAAAAGGTAAGCGCCTGGCCTGTTTGTAATTTAATTGAACTCATCAATTTATAGCCCCCTAGCACGTCCAGTTGATGCAGCTGCACTATTCGTGTTTGGCTCAACATTTCCGTGTGCCGTCGCTATTTTCAGCGGCTGTAACAATGGAGTGCGCATTGCCTATAGAGACGAGAGTATCTTGTATCTTGTATCTCGCATCTTGCATCTTGCTATATCTATATGCATGTACATGCGCTTCTGTTTATTTATAGCCCTAGTTTATTTATGGAACTGCACAAAAAACTGTTGCAAATTGCAGCTGCGGCGCTCTGCAAATGGGGTCAATGGATTCCGAAGCCGAAGTCGCAGCAGGAATACGCGGCTGTAGTTGCTGCCCGAGCGGGGCACTTGGCCAGGGTAGCGCATTTATCAGTTCATTAATGACACTTACAAGACACTTGGAACTCGGCTAACATACTGCCCCAAAAAAGAAAAAAAGAAAAAAAAAATCACCCCAACAAAGGTGCTCGGCCCATAAACAAACTGATTCGTAATCAAACTCTGTTGAACTAGATGATACCCCGTGTCCATAAACAGAATCTACTGCATATACATTTCATTCATAAAGACGTCAGAGCTTCGTTTACATACATCTTTCTTAAGTTGTCTACATAAACAAATTTACGCAGAATAATAAAAATGATTTTGCGCTTTTTGCTTTAATCAGAATTTCCTCAGCAAATCTTGGCTATTATTGATGTGGATTATATATAATCTCCTCTTGTATACAGATTGTTTATTTCTTGTGTATAATTTTTCTTTTTTACTTCATTTCCAAAGCTCTATGTATATTGCATCTAAACTTTATTTATCTCTATTAATTTTTGCTAGCTAGACGTCAGAGTTTTTTTTAGAGTTTCTTAAGTTCTTGAATCAGAATTTCTTTGGCTTTTTTTTTCTAATATTTATATATATCATATATTATATATCATATATTCTCTTATTAATCTAGTAGACTTCATACAAATATATCTTCTCCTAACTTCAATGCAAATATGCCATTATACTAAGTCCTGTATCCACCTCTAGCCACGCCTCCTTCAGTCTCTTATCTGCCTTGCCACACTGTTGAGCACTTATCACAGCTCTGGGTGTAACAGCATGCGAATGTGTGCAATCAGGGATGAATAATTCACATGTATTCAGCTAGCAAATTAAATGCCAGCTGTTTGCCGCCAACTGGCGTTAAAAGAATGGCCAACATTAAGTATACGCCAGCGACATCAAGTATACGCAGCGCCCAACGAGCCAAGTAAACTAAGTGGCAGGCTGTGAACTTTTGCTGTTGCTTTGATTTGCTTTTTTTTTTGGCCTCTAGTGATGTCTGGTACTATAATTAGCGGTAGTTCGTGAACGGCCTTGACAAATGTGCCAAAAACACAAGAGCCGCAGCATGAAAGTGAAACGTAAACAAAAAGTGTGGTCAATAACCGCTTTTGGCTGGGGCTAAAACATAGTATGTTGCCATTTGGCAATATTAATTGTTTGCAATTATATAATTGTATTTGAACCCGTTTGCCCAAAAGCTTGACCGTTAAATTGCTCAATTGACCTTTGTCCGCATTCGCTTTTGATATCTAATATCTGAGTAATGAACCCGAGTGGAAATTTCTTTCGTTTTCCATTTGGCCGTTTGCAAATAATTGAGCAGCGACCCGGAGTGCTTGAATTTAAATAAAAGCCCCATCAGATATGCAATTAAATGAGAGAACGCAGCGTTGTCCCTCTCTCTATCTCCCTCTCTCCCTCTCTCTCTGTCTCTGTCTCTCTGGAGATCTAACACACTTTAAACTGTGCAGCCATTAGGCGAGTCACCTTGCCAGCTGAAGGACGCACTCAACGTGTGGAGTGGGCGGTAGGCGGGACAGGCGGACTGGTCGGGTGGGTTGGAGATTTCTCGAATCGAGTTGCGAAATGCATGCATGCACGTTGCTGGCGACTTAGCCTTCGTTAAACGTAACCTGTTACCTGTTTGCGACACCAAGGCCTAAAAACAAATGCATTTGCATGTTAACACACTCTGGGCAATAATCCCCTTTCCACTCAGCCCCATTTGCTGCAATGCAAAATCAATAAACTAACAAAACAACAACAACAACAACAGGTGGAGCTGAGCAAAATTGTTGTTTGCCTGTTTTTGATATATACAACATGTGTTTTTTTTTGCAGCAAAGAGAATGAGAGAGAGAGAGAGAAGGCAGACGGAACAGATAAGTGCAGGAAACTTGGCACATGTGTGTGTGTGTGTTTGTCTGTGTGTGCTTTCGTTTCAGTTGCAGTTGCCTCGTTTGCTAATGACTCGCTTTTGACCAAGCCAACAATAACTTTGCTCTTTGGTCTTTAAGCTGATATACGATATGGAAGTAATAATACGTAATATTTTTTTAAGAACTTCCCCTTGTCTCTCGGCCATCGAAGCACACACAAAGTTTATTAGCTCTTCAAGAGCTCCGCTCACCCTTTGTTCCCCATGCGCCCGAGCGACTTTTATATAGCAAATTCTACGAAATGGCCATGTCGAATACTATGTATTTATGTGAAATAATTGCGTTGTTTTGGAAATTTTCTTATGAACGCGCTGCATATTGAGGAAATTGTATCTTTCTTTTTTATGGGCCCAACAATAGATAGCCGGATGACTGTGAATCGCATAATAGAGTATAAAGGGGCGCATAATGTATATAGACGTACTCAAAGTCATGTTTGTTTTTATTTTCTTGTGTTGTCTATAATCGTAAGTAATTTTCCGTCAATTTTTCCCTTGCCTATGTTTATGCATAATCGCATATATACATACATACATATACTTGATGTCTATAAGCTCTTATTTCATACATGTTATTTTTTATCCCTGGGGGGTGCGAAACGAACTACTCATTGCGCCCCACAATGAAATCGTAAAAATATAATAAATCAAAAGCAGCTGTGAGTAGGAAAGTGGACAACTCGGACAACTTGGACAACACGGACAATAATGTTTTCGACTGGGTCTCGGCCTGGGCATGGATTACATATGCTTTATGCTTTTATTTTGAATGTAAATAAATATAAATGTGTAAAATACTTGTAGTATATAGTATTTATATAGGAGCAGCGAGCAACCTGTGCCTTGGCATAATTCCATTTCCATTTCCATTTCAATTTTCAGTTTCATTTGTTGCTCTTGCCTGTAGTTTATTTTGACAGCTGTCATCGCCCGGCATGATATGAGGTTTATTGTTGTACGAATGTATTAACAAATAGTACAACACGGCAACAATTCAATTAAAATGTGATATATGATATTTACAAGCCCATGCAAACAGACTTAAGAGCATTTTCAAGACCATAAATCAGAGTGGCAACATTTCTCGGAACTCGAAATGGGAAATGCACTTATGAATATATTAAAACTTCTCTATAAACAATTTTGAAGGATTACACTTCAAAATGTTGAGAAACTTAAATATATTGAAGGGAAAATTGAAAAAAGTTTATTTTAAAGGAATAAAAAATTAGATAAATAATTTTAAAATATGGAAAATATGGAAAGATATTTTAAAATTATTATATTATAATTTTAATATACAATTTTGTCATTATATTGAAGGGGAGTTTATTTTAACATTATTATTAATTTTAATAAATATGAAAAATATGCAAAAGACCTTGAATTATTCATGTTTTATGTCTTTCAAAAAATGATTTGGCTTTATATTCATAATGAGATCAAATTTGATATGAAACTAAAGATTAGGGATTATCTCAGTGAAAATCCCGAAATTTAATTAGGGTTTTACTCTGGGCTAAACAGAAAACCCTAATATCAGCATGCTATTTATTATTATTATTATGTTTATGCTCTAGTAGATTAGGTTATGCATCTGGCATGGCCCCCAAATGAACAACTAATTAAATTTCCGAAACGACCTCGACTCCAGCAACATGGCCAATTGATTACGAACTTCCCACCCCCGTCTGTCCGCTGTGGCGACGTCATATAATAAATCAGCAAATCGGTATCGATATATTGATATATTGATATAGCGGCGTCATAAACGGGCCCACACTCATTGCCAAACAATGAACTGTTCGTTCGTATCTTATCTGATGTTGATGCACTGCATCAGTCATGGTCGGAATCAATAAAACTTTGGAATACTACACCTACCTCCTTGTAGCGCTTCGACAGGCTGCGGCAGATGCGCTTGTAGAAGGGCGCCATTTCGGTTGTTGTTGTTGCTTTTGCTTTGTTTCTGTTGTATTCTGTTTTATGGATTTCCAAATTTGGAAACGATGTGAAAATGTTTATTGAACTCTTTGATAAAATTTGTGAATACGTTAGCTCTGATCTGGTCGCTGGACTTGAATGGAAATAAAACACACGGTTTATAGTTTACATTGCGCGCAACCTTTGCAGAGTTGTTCGCGGCACAAGAAACACACACTCGAACGATGAAAAACACTAAACGTTTTCTATTTGATTGCTTCCTCTCGATTTTCCAGTTAAGCGAAAAAAGTTTTCTGTTTTTACGCAGTGTTTCTTTTTTTTCGTGAATTGTATTCTTGTTTTATTGGATGCTGTGCCAAGTATATGCGATGCTCTCTAGCGGATCGTAAACACATGAATGAGTCGATCCGCCGAGGCGCGAGGCTTTTTATGAGCTGCCACAAGGCGCAGCAAGCAACAAAGCAGATAGAGAGAGAGAGAGAGAGAGACTGTGGGAGATAGGCGAGAGATAAAGAGACAGAGAGACAGAGAGCAGAGGCGCGCGCAGCCTGAAGCGGAAATGAGGCACAAAGAGAGCCAGACAAACAGACATCATAGATATAAATCTATATATATTGTATACAAATAGAGCAGGCGAGCGAGCGAAAGAGAGAGAGAGAGATAGATAGTGAATGGGCAGGGGAAGGGGGCTGGATCTACTTACTTGTTGGACAACGATTGTGGCACGCGGCTGCTTGCAGACAGCGGCCGCCTCCAAGGGATTGGCTGTCACATTGATGGCGCCCGCACCCGCACCCGCACCCGAACCAGAACCCGATCCCGGCAGCAAGTCCTCCAGTGCCTGCAGCTGCGGCTGCACTTGCGTCTGCGTCTTCGACTTGGACTTGCTCTTGAAGGAGCGCTTGCGTGTGCTATCCGTGGGACTGAGGGACGCCGATGCCAGGGAGTCGCTGCCGGGGCTGTGCATGTGCAGCACCTGCAGATTGAGTGTGGAGTTGGAGCCATGCTTGGGCGGAATCTGCTCGAACTTGCTGGCGATGTCATCGAACTTGTTCAGCTCGGCGTAGGAGTGATCGCTGGGCGAGGAGGAGCTCTTGGCCTGGGGATAGAACGCGTCCGATTGTGGCACATATTGCTGATTCTCTCGTATGGTTGTGTGTATCACGGAATCGGGTCGTATGCGCTTCGAGTTCTTTCGAGAGGGTGGCCGCTCCCGCTCCCGCTCCCGATCCCTGTCCCGCTCGTGGTTGAGCTGATGCTGTTGCTGCTGCTGCTGCTGCTCCTGCTGAGTGAGCCGCGAGTACTGCTGGAAGATGTCCGCGCTCAGCTTGCGCTCATAAACCGAGCAATTCTCGGCCTCGTCCGAGTCGCTGCTCGTGCTGGCCGTCGCCGAGCTGGGCGCAAAGCACTCCCGCTGGATGCGCTCATAGTCGAGCGCCTCCCGATCGAAGGGGAACATGGTGCCGGCAGCGGCCGCATCCCGCAGACAGCGCTCGCTGCTGCCGCTGGACGAGCTGGAGGAGTACTTGCGCTGCTGCGCAGCTGCCTGGGATGAGGGCGACAGCTGCTGCTGCTGGGGCGACGCCTGCTGCTGGGATTGGCGCTGCTTCTGGTTCTGGCTGCTGCCGAAGAAGTTGCCGTCCTTCATGGTGGGCGGCGCCGAGTTGATCTTGGCTATGGCGCCCGTGGACGCGGAGGGCGTGGTGCGTTTGCGCTCCCGCTTCGGACTGGTGCGGTTGCTGGACGAGGGCGAAACGCTGGGCGAGATGCGATTACGTGTGCCATTGGCATTCGCATTGGCATTGCCATTGCCAGCCATTGAATCGCGCTCCCTGGCGCGCAATTTCTTGTTGCGATTAGCCGCAGCGCGCTCCTCGTGCGCATCAGCCACCTCTGCACCACCCGTGTAGTAGGAGTTGCTAGCTCTGCGCGCCTGCTGGGCGTCCTCCTTGAAGGTGAAGTGGCTGCGCGCCTTTTCGCTGGTGCGTGCTGACTTTGGCGACTGCGGCGGATCGAAGGTGAAGTGCTCTCGGCCACGCGTGGGCGGTGGCGCCGTGCTGGGCTGACGGGACGACAGCAGCAGGGGTGTTGTCGATGACGGCTCCCCTGTCAATATGGACAAGCAGGACTCCTGGCTCTGGCATGAGAGACATGTGGCATGTGCATGTATGCAAATGAGTAAATGGAATACGAAGGAAACGAACAACAACAACAACCACAACAGGAGTCATTGGTGTACTCACCTCGGTGCTGTCCTGGAGATTCATGTCGGGTCGCGGGGGATAGCGAGAGCAGCTCGTTAGTTCCAATTCAGTGCCGCCTGCCTCATGCTCCGAATCGATTTGGATGGCTGTCAGCAGGGGCTCTTCCAGTGAGCTGAACAACGGCTCGCTGGGACCGGAATTGTCGCCTGCGGACAAAGGGACAGGTCAAATGTAAGCCATTGTGATTAGTTGATTAATTAACAAGCTGCTCAATTAATCAATCAATCAATCAGTCAGTCGCTCAATCAATCAAACAATAGTCGCCACCACCACAACTACCTACCCAGGTCCAGGGAATCGCAAGTCTCCGAGGTGTCGGTGTGCGTCACATTCGTGATGAGCGTGCAGGCGGAGTCTGTGGACGTGTTGATGGTCGTGTCCGGTATGGATGCCGACGAAGTGCCCATGACAACCAGCTGTGCAAGAGAGCAGAGAGATGGCAGATACAGTCAGCTGTGAATCAGGAATCCCCTCTCATCTATCACAATCTCTACTCACCTTCGGCACTCCAGAGACGCCCATGGCATGCATACCCGTTGCGCCGCTCACCGAATTGTGGTAGGCACTGGAGACGGTGTTCATGGGCATGCTGTTCAGCGGTGTGGAGGAGGTGGATGAGTTGATCTTGTTCTTGATGCTGCGCCCGCTCTTGAAGTACAGTCGACGCAGAGCCGTGGCCGTTGAGGAGCCCGATGTGCTGAAGCCATCGTTGTCCGAGCCGCTCGAATTGCTGCCGCCCGAGAGAGCGGCCATGCCGTTCAGCTGGGCAGCGGCGCGCACCGCTGTGGGTGTCGACGGCTTCGACGTGTTCGAGGACGTTGACGTGGCAAAGGTCGTTTGAGCAGTGTTCGCTGTGGGTGCAGTTGGTGCAGTTGTGGGCGTGGTTCGGCTAGCAGGACGCGCTGTGGTTCGGTTGTTGGTGCGTGGCGAGGCATTGGCATTGGGAGTGGAGCTGGCACTGGAACTGGACGGGGCTGTTGCTGTGGCCTTCTCGCCGGACTGTTGGCCCAGCGCCAGAGCCATCATTGCCGCGGATCGTGTGCTCATATAGCAGCTGGGCAGCGGCTTGGCTTGGTTGTTGTTGTGGCTGCTGCTGTTGCTGCTGCTGCTGGCGGTGGTCTTTGTGGCCGTATCGTTGCCCGGTGTTCCATGTGAGAGGGATATTGTCATGGCTGCCAATGAGAAGACACAAGGAAAAAGGCTTGAGTTGAGGCGGAAAGAAAAAGTCATACCTAATGCTTAATATTCCATGCAAATACTTAACAGAATAATGTTAACATTAATACTTAACATAATGTAATCAAAGTCTTAATACATTGCTCGGATAATTATAAGTTCTTCTTGTATTAGTTTTACCTGCCTCTTGCTTTTAAACACATCTTAATTAACTATTTCCCTCCATTAGTCTCTGCATTTGTAATTTATTTAAGCTGTGAGCTGTAAAGCTTTTGCAAATGAAATTTCCCGCACAATTCCTTGGCTTACTTTAAGCTAGATCAATTAGCTTACAATACTTTACAGTTGCTTTGTAAGACTTTGAGCCAATGTCATTCAGTTGATGCGTTTAATGAAACTGTTTAGTTTCGCAAAGTTTAATTGCATTGCCTGATTATACGAGAGTCGAGCTGTGAAAATCGCATGCTCTAAATCAACAAATAAAATCGATAAATTGTAGCGTGACACGCACCGTAATCCCCCCAGTCAGGAGTATAGAAATACACACATAGACTCAAAGACTCATACGTATTATTGGTAAGGTAGGGTTGCGGATGGAAGTGCTTTGGTTTCAGGGTACTTTACCGTTACGCTCGCGGAAACGCCGCCCCGCCGTACTCAACCTGTGCAATTTGGCACGTAAACAGCTTTCAGATTTCGAGGAAAACAAAGCAGAACAACAAAATAAAAACATTGAGCAGAGCAGAGCAGCGCAGCGCACAGTGAGATAGATAATATCGTATAATCAAATTCCACAAATAATTGAGTGGAAGATTCGTCTAACGAATGTCTGCGTATATTGAATGGCTATGGATATGCTCATCTTGTTGATGTTTACCTCTGCCTGCACAATGGCAAACTGGCAAAATAGCTGAATATATCAGTGTATGCAGCTATGTGAGTGTGTGTGTGTGTGTGTGTTGTCATTTCTGGCATACAGCACGCCCCTTTTCGGCTGTCCGCCCACACCGGAAAAGGAGTCAAAAGACTTTGACCCAAAAAAAGAAATCGCAACATGTCGAATCTTTTCATATGTCGCGCCCCGTTGGGAAAAAGCATTACAAGCCAACTGCCAACTGCTCATGCAGCTTTATTTACACAAAATGTCACTGAAAGTGTGTCAAGCGTTGGGTGGAGGGTGAGGGGCGGCAAAACATGTGCGTGTGCGAGACTGGAGCATGCGAGTACAGTCAATAATGAAAATCTGTCGGAAAAATTGAGTTTACTGAAAGGCTAAAGGCAGCTGCTTACCTTGACCACGACTCCTGGAGGTTGGTGAGGCGCCCGTTTTATTTCTAGTCGTCGTCGGTGCTGCTGCTGCTCCTGCTGCTGCTGCTGAGGGTGCAGCTGTTATAGGCGTTGTGGGCGTGGCATCGGGGGTTGGGCTGCTGTCGCGAAAAATGGGCGAGCCGGGCACATAGCGTTCAGGCTGCAAACACAATTCAAGTAGCATAACATAACAATATCAATCTATGATCATATCAGCACTGCATATACATATATAATAAAGACATTAAAGACAGTCGCCTTATCGGCAGGTGGCAACTATAATAAGAGATAAGATACATATGTACATATAGAAAAGCGACCCATCCATTGCTCTAAAAAGGTAAACATTTGTCGCCTGCTCGCTGTCAGCTCCAGTCGTACTTCAGGCCCAAAGCCGGAATCATTATCAGCTGTCATTGGCGCAAAGCAATCGAAGTGAAGACAACTTGAGATGCCAAAAGTCGCCCTCTTGCTGGCATTTTATGTCATTTGCCTGTCTCCCTGTTTGGCCAACGGTTCGTATGCGTATTTGATACTATCATAGGAAATATTCATAAGTTCTATACAGAAATACGCGCGTGCATGCATTTTTTTTAAAAATATTCATTTCCACTTAACTTAATTAGCTGCTTTTTATTTCGAAACTTGTCTACTAAGTATTCGAAATGTATGACAGCAACGAACAGGTAAATTCGAAATTTCTATTATTTTCTTTATTTTCTATCTCGCTCTTTCACTCTGTCTTTCCTTTGGCACGTTTTCTGGCTGAGACCTCAGCGCGATTCTAAGAACTTTGCTCTGCTTTACGTATTTCATATATGTACATATACTATGTGTGAGTGTGTATGTGTGTGTATGCAGTTGCGTCTACTTGCCATAAACATCTCTATACACATATAATAACCCGTCTCTAGTTCAGCTGTCGACGCCACTCTCCAGTGACCGCATTTAATTTATTGATTGCTACACAAAAGATGATAAACATAATTTCTCAAAGTTCTCTACTGTATAATACAATATTTTTAGCCCAACCGTGTGGCCAAAGCACCTGAAAGTTTTCACAAATCAGAATTGAGACATATTGAGATGGAAAATTTTGATTCGAATTTGGTTGAGATGTTGAAATAAGAATGTATTAAATTTTTAGTTTTTTATAAATATATATATATTAAAATTTTATGATTGTTGTATTCATGTGGTATACTCAATATTTCGTATACGAAGGCTTTAAAGAATTATGATTCGTAGTCAAAATAAAATAATAAATAAAATAAGTTTTCATTTAAACCTGGTAATATTTAAAAGGCAAGCTTCGCTGACTGTACTTGATCAGAAGCAAACTTTGCGTTTGCAGCCCTGGTTTCATCATTTCCACTTGCTAAATGACTATATAAAAATGTTAGCGCATCTATCCACACATTTATCATTATGTACCCAGAGCCAACGCTGATATGTCATATTTGTCAAACATTGTTTAACCATTGCAATTATTTGCCCATGACTAACGACGTTTATGAGTTTCGATTTCCATCAGAGGGTCGCAATAATTTTGATTGGTTATCTATTGCAAATACTATGCATACCTTTGCAGCAATGAAACCAATTGATTTTTATCAAATGCTTCATGGCCTTGGCCCACTGTGCGGCGAGTTAATTTCTATCGTATTCGGGCGCTACAATTTCGCACGAATGAATGATGAGTGTTAAACTGACTCGTGAATACGGAGAACTGAAGCGTGCCCAGTGCCAATTGAGTTGGTCTTATGCAGAAATCACAGTGCACAATTTTCTATCTATATTTATGTTGTTGTTTTTTTAGTTTTTCATACACAGTTTTTACGATGAATTTATGCATATGTTGAAGAGTCATTAAAGGAGCACAGCTCATTATTATGATTGCCCTCATGAGATTGCCTCTAGAGATGAGTGGGGGGCAACAAGGTGGCGATGGAGGCGACTGCCTCAGCTGCGCCAGCTGTTAGACAATCGGTCGATGTAAAGGCGCAGGGTCGTATTCTGAGGTCTGGGACCGCAGCGCGAGCTGATGATTTTCAATGATGAACTGCTGAAAGGGTATGCCAACATATTCATTACATATGTATGTGACTAGCATTGGTATAGAGGAGGAATAAAGGGTATAACTATAGTGAATGGGGGTCTATAGTGAATGGGGATCCATATATATGGATGATATAGTATAGCTCTTGATGTACTTTTTTGAATGAGAAAATGTTTCTTTATATTGCATTAAGTTTTAGATCAATTTAAATAGATAAATGATAATTATTGTGTTTTTTTTAAATTATTATTCAATATTTAGTACTATTTGTTTGAAATTTAGTATATAGTATGATTAGTCAATGACTATATTATATTATTTTAAAGCCCTTAAATCGAATCTGCCCGCATAAATGATAATAATTGTATTTGTATGTATGGATGTGCTTATATCACATCAATATATATGTGTATATGTATTTCTACAAAGCCTAGGGTATTTATAAATTCGATAACTTTCTGTCTAACTGCCTTACATGTTGTTGGTTTCTATAATTTTTGACTATTTTTATGTATGTAGCGCCAAAGTCTCGTGTCGTGAGATCAGTTTTTACAATTCTGTAGCATTTGGCTCTGCCTGTTGCTATTCTTGTAACACGTTGTTGTTGTTGTTGTTGCTGTTGTTGTTGTCTATTGACGTCATTGTTATTACACAAAACGCATAAAGTGTATAGACCATATGTATGTATAGATGGATACATGTCGAGGACGCAGTCGTGCCACTTGGCAAATAGACAGAAAGTCTGTTGCCAAAAATCTCACTTTAATGCAATTAATTTGAATAAAAGCAGATTCGTTGTGTTTTTATTTAGATCTATCATGTGTGTTGTTGTTCTTGTGGTTGTTGTGTTGCGTTCGCTATAAATAAATTCTAAGAAAAGCACAACAACATCATCATGATCATGATTCGCGTTGTCATCATCGGTTTTATCATCCACAATACATGGTGAATAGTATCAACAGCCCCACAGAGCGAAAGCGAAAGGCAGCGTCATGACCTCGTTCAATATTTTCGAGATGCGAATGTATTTTTATTATGTAGTTTATACAGTTGCCATATAGTTTTATTTATGGTTTTTTGGACTTGCAGCTCTCGAGTGCTACGTCTGCAGCTACTTGCTCGGCCAGAGCGATGCCACCTGCCTGACGAATGCCACCGCCGTGCGCGCCCTCAACTGCACCAAGAAGTACTGCCTCACAGTGCGGCAGGAGGCGATTGTGAGTATCATACAAAGTCGTGGTCCCCCCTTATAACAGTCATAATCATGCAACGGGCAGCTAGAGCGTCGTATATTCTCAACTTAACTCCGTTTAGCCACAGCTGGCTGATTGCCTTGCAACAAAGTAGCCGCCGCGCCCGAGTCGTCAATTTCTGTTGCTGTTTCTATTTCTTTTCGGCATAAGCACACATACAAACATACGAAAATACATATACAGCTACATGTGCAGCTGGGAAAAGTTTGGTCGCGCAACTTTGTATCAAAGTGTGGCAGCAGATGAAAGTTTTTGCACAAAAAAAAAATTAGCAAGACTCACGTATCAAGCGAAGCTTCGAAACTAGGGTCTTGCACACCAACACACACACACACATACAGACACACACACATGCATAAGCTGGAAGAGTAATTGAATATATGATGGGCCATGGGCACATGTGGCGTATGAGTAACAAGTGCCAGGGAATCGCATTATTTTGAGTGTCATTTGAAATTACATTTATATGCATTTCACTCTACTCATCAGGCGACCCCCATGCCAACGAGTACACTTAGTTAGTTAGGGAGAAAGTGGCAAAAACATAGAGAAACTCTTTTCATATTTTTACCTATTATATGCTCTTTGACTCTTGGGAACTCTTTTCGAATTTGACTTTTAGCTTTAAAGTTTAAGCAAATGGTTTTCAAGTTTGGGGCAAGCTCTAGTGTTATTGCAGAAGTTTGCCAAAACGAGTCGAGAAATGAACTTTTAGCCAGCAATGAGAACCTTTCAGCTGATTTTAAAAGGCAACTACATGCTGCGCTTGCCATGGCCTTAAGACGAAAAGCTGCAATTGGCAATAAAGAGTCGACGCACGAGTGCTTAAGTCAAGTGCCCGTCGTGTAGCTGATGAAGGGGCTCGGTGCGCGGCTGAGTGGGAGAATTACGCACGGGCTCACATATTCGGCAGTTGGGAGATTTCAAGAACTGTCGCTCTATAGCGTTTGTTTTTAACGCCGGCACGCAAATAATAATAGAATCAGGTTTTTTTTCATTGTGTGTTGACATTGGGGCTTTTGTGCTTTAATTTGCACAGGCACAGCCGAAAATCAAACAAAAATGCTGCGACCGAAAGTGGAGTGCATAAAAAGTCCATTACCATAATTTAATGGAAAGCCAGAAAGGCGTATAAAAGCCACAAAAGCCGCTTCAGACTGTGCGAGAGACAGAGACAGGAATAGACAGCACATCATAGCATACGCAGCAGCTAACCCTTACTCTCTCTCTCTCTCTCTCTCTCTCTCTCTCTCTCTCTCGCTCTTTCTTGATAGCCTCCTTAATATGCGAGGCTTTAACTCTGTCTTCCATCAGCTAGCGTCACCCACGCCCCTCCATGTACTTCAATATATATATGTATGTGTGTGTATGTGTGTGTTTCTCCATTTTTTTTTTACAATGAGTTGGATAAACATTTTGCCAGGCGCTTCATTAGTCGGCGAGCCTTGAACTCTTTGTTATTGAATTTGCTGGATCAAAGAGGCATTGAGCCAGCGGGAAATGAACTAAAAGTTACTTGTGGGCGCAGCCAGACAAAGAGAGAGAGCTGCAGCATCTGCTGCTTCTCACCAGCCAGACAAATGCTACACTGATGCTCTGCCATAATGCAATTAAAACTTCATCTTCATCTCCATCCGGCCGACCCTAATGATGAATACAAATTAAGTGAAGCTGTGACACTGGCCACAGTCAGCCAGAACTTGTAGCAGCTGCCAGTTATTATAGTTCATTGGATGCAAATTGTAGTATAATCGAATTTTCAATCACAAATGCATCAATTTAAAGAATTTAACTCTCTGTTATTGCTAGAGATATATAAAGTTATGTGGTTATAATAACTTTGTCTTTTGGTATATATATCAGTTTGTAATCAAACAAAATTGATATATATAAATAAATTTATTATCAAATAAAATATATAATCGGAAATTTACATATTCAAAAAATTCAAATCTCTGATATCTCTTTTCTCTTTTGGAATATATTAATAAATCAAAATTTAATTCGATTATAGCAGAGATCTACATATTTAAAGACTTCAACGCGCAGCCGTTTCCTAGAAATAACTTAGTTATTTAAATATGAAAACTTTATCTATTTCATGCCGAATATCTTTGGGAATATTTTAAAATATTATGTTTTCGCGCTAACTTTTTCTCATGCTCCGCTCTTAATTTTGGTTTCCTTTTTTTTGGTCCCCCCTCATACATGTGTCGCCCGCAGCATAATGGGAACAAAGTCATTTCCTTTCTACGTGACTGCCAGGATAAGCCGACGGTGGGTATGAGTGGCAGATCAACAGCCAGACAGATTGCGCCTGGGGCAGAAATAAAATTTACGCACATTGCAGGTACTGAATGGAGTTAGGACGGACTCCTCGTTTCGCACCTACTACCGCTCCTGCCAGCTGAATCTATGCAATGGGCACAACGGGCGCGTCTACAACACGAGTGGCAGCCTCACCATCGGCGCTGCTGCTGGAGCCGGTGGCTCCGCTGGGGCAGGTGGTGGGGGCAATCACAACGCCATTATACCTGGCAAAAATGGCAGCCACGGCGCAGGGTCCGAGGGACTTGGACTGGTGGCGCTGCTGTCTGCTGTTGTGGTGGCTGTTGCTCGCTGGCTGTAATTAGCATAAAATGGATGTTCCGCAATATGACAAAAAAGGGACACGCTCGATTCTAATCCCAATGTCTGCCAGAGATGAAAATAAAAAGTGCCGCCAGCAGCCAATTAAAACGCGTTTAGCTGCTGTCTGGGCTGTCTGTTTGAGCCAGTGGCTCGCTGCTCGTCCCTCGCAATACTCCTTGGACAGTTGAAGAGGTCATCGGACTGTGACCTCCCAAACTAGACTTCCGCATAGTGGATGGCACATGTTGACCGCAATTCACAAAATGTGGGCGGGTGGGGCCTTCGATAGCCAGCTCATTAAAATAGAATTAAATACGCGTTAACGGCTAACATAAATTCCAGCTAATGGCCCAGACTTTTCAGTCTCTGTCATGAGTCGACGACATTTTTATGTTAATTTCTAGAAATCACAACACAAAAACAACTTTCGGCTCGCTGCAAACATTTCAAGTACACAAATGTCGCACTGGCAGGTGAGAGTGACAAAATAACAAAGACAGCTAAGCTATATATCCTTTTAATTGACACCGAGAATAGCTCAGGCTGCTCTATCTATCCTCAATTCAATGTTGACTGAGAAGTAAGCTCAAGACTCAAGACTCAAATGTAGCTATAGAGCTGTCGACTCAAGAGCCACTCAGCTCAGCAAATAGGCGCATGAGCGCATACCTAGTGTAACCAGAGAGAGAGAGAGGGGGAGAGAGATAGAGAGAGAGAGAGGGCGTGCATGTGAGAGGCTGCTGAAGGATTTAGTTCTGTACTTTTTCTTCTCTGCCTTAACAAAGTTAATTGAAATGTTAAAGAAAATACGTTTAGTAATTGAAATCGATTAAAAACTAGGGCACGCTAACAACTTGAAAGGGGCAAAGGGGTGCTTTTCCTGTGTGTGTGTGTGTGTTGACTTAACGCATTAAAGTTTCCACGAGTTAAACTGTAGCATGCTTGTCACTCGCCGTTGTCGCTGACATTTGACGTTGCTTTTGCTTTGCTTTTGCTCCCTTGACATGCTTTTGGCGCTTTGGAAATACACGAAAAATGTTTGCATGGCAAACAAATCGCTGTGTTAGCCTTACCTACTCCTCCCCCTGCCCCACTGTCAACTCTGCGTGTGTCATTCGTGCACACTGTGACATGAACACTGAAAGCGAAAGCACATCGCGCAGCACACCCCATTCCTGTTTTTCTTTCTCTTTTTCTTTTTTTTTATTTTTTGCATTTTTAATTTTATTTGGGTTCGGACAGCAATTACAATTTGAGATTGCAAATGGCCAGCAGAGCGCGTCATATAAAATTTCCGATTTGCCAATTGAAATAAATGAACATTTTGTCGCATCTCTGCCAAACTAGAAATATCAACGCCAATTAGCGCAGCTCGATGAATAAACAAAATTGGCTAATAAATATTGAATGTGGTAATGTGTGTGCTCCTCAATCAATCGACAGTCTGAAGAGACCCGAATCATCTGTAATCAATCATGCTTCCATTGGGCGCATAAAACATACTCAAAATGGGAGTGGGCCATAATTATTTATTATTAATATTTTCCCAGTCAAGGACCAAGCAAGTTCCACATAAACAGAACAAAGTTAAACAATCTGTAATGATATTTAATTTCGTTGTTTTTTTGTGGCCCCAATATATGATTTCATCACACCTCAGCAGCCGCAACACTTAAGTATATACAATTATAAGTCCCGTAAGTCGAGCAATAATAATTGGGAGAGAGTGGGAAAGACATAAAGGTACAAGTGTCTGGTCGATTTAATTTCATTGAGGAAGTCGTTGGCGTATAACAAATATTATCTTGTGCCCAATAAGCAGAGAAGGCCGCAGCGATACGAATTCAGAAAACGGGAATATTCCCGAAAATGTTCTGCTGTCATGCTGTCGCAATCCACAGCATAATAAACAAGGCAGCTGAGATGTAGCAAAGAGGCGAGACAAATTGCCTAAAATATGCAAGAGTTGTTTAAAAATAATATTTTATAAAACAAGGCGAGACTGCTCTACTACGAGATCCCCTGAACCCTTGGAGAGACTCATACATATTCTAATAATTCTTCGCTGCTTTCCTGCACGTGCACGTGCACACCCATGAGGCTGCCAGCAGTGCTGCCAGTTTAGCTTATTTCAGGCTAGATCGAGCCTCTTTGAATGTGGTGCATCTTATTGATGTAAGAGATTGAGGCAGACTATGCTGGAGTTTAGTCCTTGAGAGAACTATAGAATAGAAGAACAGAAGGAGAAACTAATGCCTATGCCATCTAATAATTAGTAATATTAATGTACATAAACTATTTAGCATATCAACATTAATATATAATGAGGTAAACCGATTTAATTATATGTGGTAAATATTTATACGTGGCAAATATATATTGTTAATTATACGTGGTAAATATAAATGTATATCGTATATTTGTTTGTAAATCTGTCTCTCTGTCCCACACAGTTTGTCTCTCTGTTTGTTTGACTAAGAGAAGCACGGTATGAAGAAGCTCTATTTAAGATCGTTTAATTTGTCTCTATGTATGCAGCGGTATTCATTTGGTATTTACATGCAAGTAACACGGAGCTAGAATGCTGGCAGCAGAGTGTTCCCATTGGTCACATAAAGCTCGACTGCAACGATCGCTCCCTAACGCCGGGAGAGCGCCTTCGGGTCTGACAGAAAAAAAACGAGTACTTGAAGGGAATTCTTGAAGGAAGAAGAAGAAGACTTGTAATAATAAATAATAAGAGCAGAGACTTAAAGGAAACAATAAGAGAAAAGACTCGAAGAAAATACTTAGAAGAAATACATTTCTTTTGGCAAACGATCAGCACATGATACGAAATTACTTACAGTACCTACTCTGACTATAGTTGATTTAGCTATTCCAGAGCTTGTAAATTTCCCTACCAAGTGGGCGTCCGCTTTGCTAGGAAACCATATTTATAAGGCGGTGCCGCAACTGGCAATCAGTGGGTGTTAGCTGTAGCTCCATGGATAGTTGAGTAAATGTTCTCAGACTTAACTTAATAATGTGCCTATTGCAGGTTCTCCAAGACTCAACACGGCTAAGCTTTACCAGCTGGCGCTGAGTCCACAATTTGTGCAGCATCCGGAGTGCAGAGTCGTGGCGCTTAGCAACGATATGGCTTCAATCGACCCACCTGTGATATCGTCTATATCAGAAAAACTGCCATAGCCTCTGGCTAGCGCTTGACTTCTCATTGGTTGGCCATCGTTGCACTGCAGCACCTTTGTGAGAAGAGCCGTTGTTGCATGCCACGGCGATGAGCTTGCCGCCGGCAAAGGCATCTGCATTGTCACAGGCAACGAGAAATCAACTTGGACAGGAGTCACCTCTTTCTCCTCCAACTACAACTGGCTTGGCTCGGGTCGCAGCTTGTCTGGACTGGATCAAGGATAACACGCAAATAGAACACTGAATATTCTCTTATTGGAATTCGCCACTTAAAGCCAGTTGTCATTCACTTTAGCAAGAAAAAGAATAATATTTTGCGAGCATTTGTTGTGCTTTTCCTTTAAGACACACAGCACCAGCCCAACCTAGTCGAGCCCGCCTTGTTCTCCTTTTGGGGCACTGGGCACAGTTGTGTGTCAAGTCGGAGACTTTGGCTGTCTGATTGAAGAAGGTGTGTGTGCCACATTATAAATTTACTTCGTTTGTCTTTCGCTGCTGCCCAGATAGCCAGATATTAATGGTTGGGGCTGACAGCTTTGTATGCCACCAGAGATATTACAAGTCAACTGAGGGACCGGGTGTGGGGCATTGTGGTTTTGGTATTTCGTTCAATGACTGCGTCGACATTATTTCCATTCTACCCATTTAGTTGTCGCTGCGTGCACTAAACTTATTCATTGACGACAGCAATTTGTGGTCCTGTGGCGCGACAGAGAGAGAGAGAGGGAGAGAGAGTGGGACAGCGGACGGCCTGCGGGAACAGACGGACATTAGTTGGCTCCGTTTAATGCCCAATTGGCATTACAATGGCTGCTCCTTCAACTGCAGTGCATTGAACTTGCATGTCCCGAACTCAATTGGCATTTCTCAACGTCTCAACGTCTCAACGTCTCGGCGTCTCAGTCTCTCTGCTGTCTGCTCGCCGCTACCCGCCCCCTTTGGGGCAATCATTTGTACCGGAAACTATGCAAGCATTTTACGAGCTATTCGACCGGTCGATGAAGTCATACTCATTACTAATGCACACACCTTCAAGCTATTGCTGGCTAGACTGAGCTCCCTCCGTGTCGCCTCCGCTCAAAGTAAATACAATTTATTGCTGCCCATTTGCCAAAAAGAGTCGAGTACAGAATTAAAAAGAACTTTCGCCAAAAATATAAACAGAAAATGGAAAAATATCAAAAAGCGGGAAGACAGCTTGCAAATTGCACAATCGCAGTGCATGTGTTATAAATTTAATAAAAAATAAAAAACAAACAACAAAAATATATATATGTTATTAAAAATCGAGCAAGTCAGCGACAATAACAAAAGCCAACAACAAAAGGCAAACTCAAAGAAGGCGGAACATCCGACTAAAAGTCGCGTGATTTATGCCCAGACACAGCCACGCCTACCTCTCCACACCCCCTACAGACAACTGGAGCAGAGAGATTTTGGTGGGCGTGTGAGCAGTGCAGCCCAAGAGGCACGTCCGCACTTGCCTAGCATCCTATGTAGGAAATCGATTGATTTCTTTTAGAGTGGAATCAATTTAATAATGATTATCTATCTCTAAGCTGAAATCTATATACAATAAATTCGAGAAAAGTCATAAGATCATCATCGGTATTTATAGAGAACTGTGGTGTGTGAAATGTGAAGGATAAGTATTTAAATTAATGACTTTCGCCTATTTATAAACACATCCATTGTTTTTGACCTTTGTAAGATAATTAGACAGCTCACAAATCGTACTGTTTAGCACCCAGCGAGTGGAATTTTGTTGTTTTAGATTATTCTCTGAATACAGATATTTATGTTGATATATATATATATATTGTAAATGAATGACTGTGAAAAATTTGTATTTTCCTTAAGCACTCAATTCTTGCACAATTATTTATCAGCCATTATTTTTTCGGCTAGTGTATTAATTATTGATGAATTTTTTGACCTATATTTGTGAAACAAAAAGCAACAACAACAGCAAAATCAAAGTAGAAACGACAACGTCACCTCAGATGTTTGCCGCTTAAATTAAGCGTAAAATTTAGCCTGACAAACGGGCAGTGCGCCAGCAGACATTAAATCTTACGAAAGATCTACACCTCCTCCGCCTCCTGCTACGCCGCCCGCCTCCCTCACCTCCTCCGCAGCAACACACCTTTTGCAGTCGCAGAGGCGCCTGAGAAGTGCACCGAAGGGGCCCGAGAGACAGCGCGCTGAAATCTGTGCGCCACTGCCAGCATTTGGCACAGCGCTGCGAGTTGATGACGTCAAACCTAAAAAAGATGAACTGACGTCCACCTATTTGTGTGAACGTAACACTCGGGCACACTTTTGCTTTATTTTTGGTGAATTGGTCACGAAACGCAGACCCCAGTGGCCAGTGTCCAAACCCCAGACCCCAGACCCCAGACCCCAGACAAAGTGCGTTGGTCTACACGGGCCGGGCGGGCACTCCAGGAAATCCCAATGAATCACTTGACAAACCGAAGAGACTCGATGTATTGGATGGGGGGATTTGTACGGCTCGCCCATTGGACTGGCTGTGTAAACAAAAGTCACTCAAGTTTCATGAGCTTTACGCGATTTATGATGGTCGAAAAACAGAGAGAGAGTGACAATCGAGGCGGCTGAAAATGCCTGGAATGCCGCATATTCTGATGAGCATTAAGATGTGGTTTCCAGACGACACATGACAACAACATAGCGACAGCAACAGCGACAGCAACTATATCTAGATATATCTAAAATCATATTGCACATAGAGAGTAAGTCGGGAATGTGGTTGAATGGCAGATGTCAATATATAGATTTTTCTTTGAATATATATCGCATATTTTATATGAATAGAAGTCGAGGTTGTTTGCCTCAATTGGCCACAAAGATGTCAATATATAGATTTTTATTTGTATTCCCGCAATTATTATATACATTTGTATGTATGTGTGTTTGCATATTTAAATATATTCATTTCTGATGCTGTTGACAATCAATTAATTCCAACAAAAGCAACTGTCGGCCGAGCTTTACGTCTGTGGTAATTGTTTTTAATGTTAATTGTGAAAAAATACAAATATAAATAAATAAAATGCGATACATTTAAAAATGTTCTTAAAGTAGCCCAAGTCATTTCAATTTCAATTATGCCATAAGTTCCCTATCACTCAGAGTGCCTAGGCCCGGCTGCCGCTTCCTCCTCGCACTACAATATGCACATGACGTCAGCCATTGGACAGACGCAGCGCTTCATCCGTGTCGCCTGAATTCCAACCGCATGAATCTCTCTCATCCGCCTGCTTAGCATCTCCATGCCATTCTAAAATACTCTGCACAGTGCACAGTTCATTGACATGGCCATAAATTCGTTTTTGTCGCCACGGAAATAGCCGAAGAGCTCTGCTTCTTCCATAGATTTTCTTAGCCATTGCATAAGCTGTAAAAAATTTGTGTTTGGCTGGGATTATACTTGAATGAGATGAAATGCAATTGCCAAATAATGGACGGCACTCAGAGTGGCTCCATATGGGGCTAGACTTTTGTGTATTCATGCAAAACCCAGCCAAGCCTCACAGGTATTGTTATTTAGAGTGTCCCCAGTTGGTCGCCATAAATCACAATTGATGCTCTCTCTCTCTCTCTCTCTCTCTCCCTCGGTCTACATTGCCCCACTCTATGTCATTGTGGCAAATGGAAATGCATTGCAACTTGTGGCTTTTTGCATTCTAGTTAATTAAAATGCATACACAATGGTGGCTGACTGAACAACAGCATTGTGAGCTCTGAGCCGCAATTAAAACTAAAATGCGCCATCAAAACCCAAAAACTTTTGCGCCCCAGCATTGAGAATCCTGTCAACAAATATTGTTTATAAGAGAATATATATATATATGTATGCATGTGTGTGTGTGTGTGTGTTTGTGTTATGTTCACAAAAGGAGGTTATCCAATTTGTTCGAGCTAAATGAAAAACATTTGCTTGTTCACAAATGAATTTCTTCCGTATTTCGCCTGCCCGTCCGTCCGTCCGTCCGTCCGTCCGGCGTCTCACCTGCCCGCCTCTGGATGCGTATTTTCAGCAACAGATTTTGAGAATCACGCAACGCATGCTGTAAACAATATTTTTGGATTTCTCTCAAACTGAGTCAATGCAACGCGTGGGCGTGGCACGCCAACAACTTTAATATGCAGTGCAACAGTATTTTAATGAGCGGCAGTGCCAAAAATAAATTGCACATAAATATGTTCTATGCTGCTGACAACTCAAATGAAAACGAAAATAATGAAAATAGCGAAAATAATGAAAATTGTTGTGCAAAAATAAATTGTGAATTCTGGCCAGCTCTGACGTGGGCCGATGGCCAAACATTGCAAGGAGTCAATGCGCTCATTAGGCCACGCCGCACCGCCGCGCCATTAATCAACGGCATTAGGAAAGTGTCAGAACGCCAGGGCAGCGGCCAGGCAGCGGCAGCAGCTACTCAATTGCAATTGGCCAAGAAAATAATTGCGACAATTGTCACAGATTTGGCCCAGCGGAAGTTCAGGGGCGTCTCTAGCCTCGCAGCCTTTGTGCACAACAATTTGAAGGATTTATCGTAATGAATTATCTCTGGCTAATTGACGTTCGAATACAGTCGGAAGTACACGCGTTTTGGGAGGCGACGGGAGGGCCGGTTCTTGGCCAGCCATGAATATTGCCAATCGAAGCGATTTGTCAATATTTGGCAGCAAAACTAATTATCTCTGTCATTGGCAAGGACATATTTTAGCCAAGTGCGTTTAACCTAAGCCAAAAGCAAAATGTTTTTCCCTTCCTACAATCGCCAAAGTATCTATTCAATAAATATATTATATAGGAGAAATATAAAGTGCTTTGAGCCAAACTGAAATCAATATTTCAATAGCTTTTTGCTTTCAGCTCTGGCTTATGGACGACAATCAGCAACAATTTCTTTGCTCTGCGCTTTCCGCTTCTTACAGTTCGAAGCGCTTATTTAATTTAATTTCGCTGCCAGCTCAGAGCTGATTCTTCTTATTGATTGCCAATGGAATTTCCTGATGTATTCACTGCATCGATAAGTGCACTACGGGAGGAGATATAAAATCGTGTTCAGCCTGAAAGTATGCTGGCATTTTGCATGCAGAAGCTCTGCATCTATTACCAATCACTGATGGCCTCAGCGCGTTTACCAACACTTTCTCGGCTAAATTGACTTTGACAGCAAAGTAGGCGATGGTGCTGCCAGGTTTGAGCTGCTACAGGGGAAAGTCATTCTTTCACAAATTTTCGCAGTGAGCAGAGCTCTTGAAAGTAGAAAATAAAAAAAGTAAAAATTTAATTTCTCTCTCGAACAATCTTTGGGTTCTCGCATTTATCTCGCCGTGCACAACTACATTTCTATTAAATTGTGATAGAATAGAATATAAAATGATTCCAGTTACCAAGGAGGTGCAATGCCAGCTGGCAGAATCTGATGAGGCCGAGCAACAGCCGGAGACCATTGTCACCCCGAAGAGCGGCCGTGTGGGCATCTTCAATGCCGAAGATTTTTTGTCGCGTGCCCAGACCAACGACAAGATCAACAACATCTTGCGCTCGCCCACAAAGTCCCCGAATGGCGTGCGTCAACGCTCGGTGTACACCAACAACAACCCATCACCGGTAAGTTCTGTCAGAATCTGTCTGTCTGTGTCTTTGTCAAACGGTAAAATTGGCTATTCATGTTTTAAGATAACAATCTAAATTATAGAAGTTTTTCAATATTAATTTATATCAAATTTGCAGCAGTCGTCGGTTCGTTTGCCTAATGCGGCAGCATCGCTATCAGCTCGTATGAGCAGCTTGTCGCTGAACAGCGGCAGCGCCAGTGTGGGCACCAACACTTCAGTGCTGGCCAAGGAATGCTCTAGCCAAACTAATGCCATTGGGGCCTCCGGCGCCTATCGTGCCATTGGAATGGGCATGCACCAGTCGCAGCCGCTGCTCACTGCCGTCACAGACTTGGAGCCCCTGGTCTTGAGCACTAAGTCGCTGACTGCTCGCTTTGCTGGGCCATTTGGGTATGACAATAACGGCGCCTACTGTCAGGTAAATAACTGCATTCACTACTATATAGAATAATCTAATAATAATCTTTTTCCTAACAGCCACAACCGCAACCACAAATTCACCACACTCAGCAGTATCCGTCGCCCATGCCGCCTCCGCCTCATGCCTTGGGTCGCGTTAGCTCTCGCACTTTTGAGTTTGACAATAATCCACCACCACCACCGCCATGCCCCGGCTCCGGACCGATCGCCATGTCCAATGGCACTATTCAGCTGCGCTTGCGCGAGGGAGTTAGGTGAGTGGCAGAACCAGCTGAGCTGTTGATTCAGTTGAAATAAATAATATTCCTTCGATTACAGAATCGATATGACTCTGGACAAGGCCGTGCGCGTGTTGAATCAGCGCAGCATGGTGGCCGTCTCACTGTCGCGCAACGGCACAAACTCTGCTCTAATCCATCCCAATGGTCGGATTCTGCAGAGTGGCTCCAAGGTGGAAATCGTGACCTATGACGGCATGAAGGCCAACAATTTTGTGTAAGCCATTGGGGATCATTCTGCTAGGAACTATTTAAGCCAACCTTTTTGCCGTTACAGGCGCTATGCTAAGATGTGGTACAAGGGTGTGAGCTTTACTAGCGAGTCTTGTGCTTTGATTTATCTGGTTGACACTGCTGGAACACGCACTACAACCGACACTTTCACTGACCTGACCAAGGACTACACCCTGGCAGTGTTCTATGAGTGAGTAGCGAATCGGATTGCTCTTCTCTTACTTAAAACTCGCCACATTTTTGACAGCGACTCGCGTCACGGTCCCTCATTTGTGTCGGATGCACAGGAGGTGATTGCAAAGTCATCCTACAGTTGCGCAGACGACGGCACCGAGATGTACGACATCAATGGTTTTCGCATTATCCAGGCCGCCGATGGCCTGGTGAAGGTGACTCGCCAACACAACAAGGGATTGATTCGCACCAGCCCTGGCAATGGATCGGTCACTCTGACCACCCTGGGCATCCA